CTAGTATCATCCCAGTCCTTTGTTTATAACAGTAAGACTTAATATAATAAGTAAAACAGTACAAATTTGCATGCTTTAAAACAGACGACGAACACCAAAGTTGGAAGAATTATTTCAGACAAGATAAACACATACTGATGATCAAGTTGACATATTATAAACATGCAAAATTCAATTAATGATTAATTAAAACCCTAAAGACTGTCTAAGTATGCACAGAACACAGGCCAACGGAAGAGAGAAAGAAAAGAACTTGCATGTGATTTCAGTTATGAAATCTTGGCGTCGTCTCTAAGTTTTCGGCAATTTCTGAATATCGTCAAGCCTCCTACTGCTCCGGTTTTCCTCCTCCTATGTCCGTCCTTTAATTCACAGTCGAAACCCCAACCGTAATCTTTCTGTTTTCCTCAAAACTCACTATTACGTCTCTTGCCTTTACTGTGCCGTGAATAGGGTTCTAAAACCCTAGGCAGACTTATGACATATATTTATAGGCAAATATAAACCCTAAGTCCAATTAAAAACAGAGCCGAAAAAACCTAATAAAAACCTAGTAGGCCCAAAACGTGATTTCATAAAAGAATTAAACTCTAATTTATCCTTATAATTGAAAACACTGATAATTAAACCTAAATAACTCATTAAAAAAAATCGACAAACCATTTAAACAATTAACACTAATTTAATTCAATAAAATACAATTAAATGTCTAATTAAATCAACCAATTCAATTAAACAACAATTAGTCAATTAAATATAAATAAACAGGCAAACACAATAACTAAATAAACAAACAATCCAACTAAATAAAACAATTAATCAAATAAACAATTTGCCACATAAGCACATAGCCACATAATCAAATAAAAATATACATGAAATAAATAAATAAATTTTAATTATATCCTTTCTAAAATTAGGGGTATTACAACAGATGACGCAGAGGCACTTGGTGTACTGTATGCGAAAGAGAATGTCAGGTTGCACGGAGTTCCAGTATCTATTATGTCCGATAGGGATGCCAAGTTCACCTCGAAGTTCTGGGAAGGACTTCACGCAGCGTTTGGCTCACCGATGCACTTTAGTACGGCATTCTATCCACGGACGGATGGCCAGTCGGAACGTACCATCTAGATTTTGGAGTATATACTTCAGGCATGTGTTCTTGATTTGGGAGGATCACCTTCCACTATTTGAGTTTGCCTACAACAACAGTTATTAGGCGAGTATCCAGATGACTCCATTTGAGGTGTTGTATGGTAGACCTTGTAGGTCTCCGGTTTGTTGGACTGAGGTAGGCAAGACCGCCACCTTAGGACCCGACATTGTACTCGAGACTACCGAAAAGATTAAGTTGATCAGACAGAGGTTACTCACACCTCAGAGCTGACAGAAGAGCTATATGGATAGGCGGAGACGACCGTTATCTTTTGAGGTGGGAGACAACGTTTTTCTTTGAATTTCACCACGAAAGGGGTTGATGAGGTTCGAAAAGAGTGGCAAGTTATCACCACGATTTAATGGACCTTTTGAGATCTTGGACAGAATAGGAGAGGTTGCCTACATACTTACTTTGCCACCACAGTTAGACAGGATCCACAATGTTTTTCATATATCTATGTTGTGGAAGTATGAGCCGGATCCATCTCACATTCTTAATTGGGTTGATGTGGACATTGATGAAGATGTTTCCTACAAGGAAGGACCAGTTCAGATCCTTGACACACGGCAAAAAGTGTTAAAGGACAAGACGATACCTTTTGTGAAGGTCCTTTGGAGGCATCACGGAGTTAAGGAGGCTACTTGGGAGCTCGAATATGAGGTTCGCTCCAAGTATCCAGCGTTGTTTTCTTCCCCAGGTGTGGTTTGATTTCGGGGATGAAATCCTTTTAAGTTGAGGAGATCATAGTGTTCTTGTTTTTCACCATTTTTCATTTTTCTGTAATTTCTGTTTTGCGGAAGTATTTTTGTCTTTTCTCGTTTTACATGCCGGATGCCGTAGGGTGTGCCAGGTGTGTCCGAGAGTTAGTTGGAGTATTTCATTGAGTCTAGGACTTTTTGAAATGCAATGGTTGCCATTTCGACATTTTTCTATTTTTCGGGCCAGACAGCCCCCAGGTGGGACCCACTACAGGAAATTTTGTGCACGGGGATTGTGTCACAAGTTCATTGCATACTATGTATATTTATTTTGTGTATAATTTAGTTAGATAAATATATTTGTGGTGTGTGATTATATATATGTATTTTGTGGTGGATAATTTGAAAGAGTGGGATATTTTTGCATAGTGGTGCGGCCCACTCCCCACTCACTTTTCTTTAGTGGTCAAGAGGCCAAGTTTGGCCTCATTTTTTCTTCTCTCTCCCCGGCTAGCTCTATTCCTCTCATTTTCTTTTTCTTTTTCTTTGCTTCAAAGCTTTAAGCTTTGATTCCTTCCACACCAATTAAGAATTTGATAGCACTTCCTTCGGCAAAGTTGTAGAGCTCGTCGAGGCCGTTAATTTGATAGAAGCGAAGCACCATTTTAGCCAACCTTGAGATTTCGTATTAGGGCTTGGAATTTGGGGATTTTGGGGGTTTTCATCTCCATTGAGGGAGGGGTTTCTAATACATGATTTTCTTATGCTTTTGTGAGTTATTTTCTCTATGATTTGTTGAATTGCATGCTTAATTAGTTCAATTTCTTGCAAATTGCTTAAATGCTATATATGAAATTTATGGCTATGTGTTAGTTGATATGTTGTGATTTAAGCATGCATATGTGAAATGAAAATTTGTATTTTGTATGCTTAATATGCTATAACAATGTGGAATGAAAGCATGGGTTAAATGTTTTAGTAATTTATTTGAAAAGCATGTGTGAACTTCTATAATTGAATTGATGTTTTAAAAGTATGAAACATTTATGCATCCATTGGGAAAGAAAAAGGGGAAAAGTGTTGTAAAAGCAAATGAAACTATTTTGGAAAAAATGTTTTTAGTTGAAAGGTGTTTGAGAAAACTGGACGCCTAGGAGGCGCCTAGTAATTCGTGGTGTCAATGTAATCTAGGGGGGAGGTTGAGCTACTTAGGCCCAGACGACGCTGTGAAGGTACTATGTGGTCGGGGAAAGCTAGCCAATCCTTCCCTCGTGGCACCATAGAGGTGCTATGGGCCGGATTACATTAACGGTTTAGAATGGTAAAAAGGAATTGTTTTGGGAATTTGAGAGCGATATTACATGACATTGCATCCTAAAGCACGGTATGTTTCGTTGTGACTCGGATTATTGCCATTGATACTATTGTTGTATTTTTTCAGGAATTGGCATGATCCCGTCCTCTTCATTTCCTATTCATTGTGTGGATTCACGGGGTCATAAAAGGTATGTCTAAGACACCTCCTACTGAGCTTATACTCACCCCTTCATCTTAACTTTTTTCAGGTTTTGGAAAAGAAGTGGCGGACGATAACCCACCTCAACTATAGATTGGGTCGTGACTATTATTTTGAAGTCTTTTGAATAGAGCCATGAACCACATTCTTAATGTATAGTCTAAGCTTCACTTGTTGAATTTGTAAATTGTGGTTCTTTTGCATATTTGGTTTTTGCATCATGGATTGTAAATGACATTAATCCAAGTATTTTGATTAAGGTTACTAGTTCATGTAATGGATCATGTATTATGATGTTGTTGGGTGTTGCTAAGTTGTATCCTATGAGTTTATATATGTATGGAAGTGATTTATCCATTTTAAGGTGACATAGCAATCTTTTTACATAATTTTCATGTTCATGGCAGTTTAGCAGAAAGACCAGTTCGCAGGATCATTTCAGTCGATTGATCATTCCAGTAGCCTCAGCTACTGTTTGGATCACAACTGGCCGACCGAAATGGCCATTTCAGTCGACCGGTACAAGAGCTATTTCGGTCGACCGAAGTTCTATTTCGATCGATCGGTTTGCTGTTGTTTTGTGATTCTTGTTTCCTCTTTCTAGCACAGTTAACCACTAGTCTTGGAAGGTCACATAGGGTCTTAATGGATCATATTTAAGATGTATAATGATGTAATAGCACTAAATTATGTTGACTTAGGTAACCTCGGATTCGGGTAAGGACCCGGTTAGCGATTCGGACCTATGGGTTTGGGTCGTTACAATATACTTTCATTAAATAACTCTAAAAATTTTGAACGGATTTCGTCTTCCCGTTCCCAAGTGGACTCGACCTTATTATGATGGCTCCACTGAACAAACACATAAGGAATAATCTTGGTGCGAAACACCTGATTTCTACGGTCAATAATACGACAAGGTGGTTCTGCATATGTTTCATTTAGCTGCAACTCAATCTCACCAACATTTATATGTTGCCTGCTGATAGCGATCCTTATTGCGCAGAAATCTTCGCAACATGGATACCTGAAAAACATTGTGGACAAGATATAAATGGTCCGGAAGTGCTAATCGATAAGTTACAGCTCCTACACGATCTGTAATCATAAATGGACCTACAAAACGCAGTGACAACTTCCTTTTCTTCTCAAAGTGCATTACTTTCTTTATGGGAGACACTTTGAGAAACACTTGATCCCCAACCTAAAACTCTAATGCACGAGTCCAACGGTCCGTATAATTTTTTGTCTACTATGGGCAGTGTGCATGCAATCTCAACTAAGAGCAACCTTTTTAGAGGTATCTTTAATAAACTAAGGACCCAAAAATATGGTTTCACCAACCTTTAGCCAACAAACAGGATATCTACATAGTCTTCCATGCAATGCCTCAAAATATGCCATACCAATAGTCTTCTAATAACTATTGTTATAAGCAAACTTTGCAAGTGGCAAGTAATATTCCCAATTGACCTTAAAGTCAATAACGGTATCATAAAACATATCCTCCATGATCTAATTAACCCTCTCAGTCTGTCCGTCTGTCTGAGGATGATAAGCTGTGCTAAGATATAATTTTGTACCCAAAGTGCTGGAAGCTCTCCCAAAATCCTGACATGAAACTCTAATCTCTATCCAATATGATAAATAGTGGTATGCCATGCAGCTTCACAATCTTTGCAATGTAAAGCTTCGTCAACTTTTCTAAAGTAAAATCAGTACGAAAAGGCAAGAAATGAGCAGACTTGATCAATCTATCAACAATGAACCAAATGGAATTGTGAAACCTGTGTAAAGTTGGCAATCCCTCGACAAAGTCGATAGAAATGCTCTCTCATTTCCACTTTGTTTTAGGAAGTGGCTGCAAAGAACCCGCGGTTTCTGATGGCCTATCTTAACCATCTGGTAAGTACTACACTTAGATACAAATATAGCTATGTCTCTTTTCATGTCTGCCCACCAAAACTGTCGCTTTATATCTTGGTACATCTTATCTCCACCTAGATGAATAGAAAACTGAGAATTGTGAATCTCAGTCATCACATCATTCCTTAAATAATCAACATAAGGTACTACAAAATAACCTTTGTAACTCAATCCTCTATCTACCCCAACAGAGTAAAATGGAACATCTCCAGAAGCTAACTCTACAACTCTATCAATGCATTAGTGATCTATAAGTTATGCCTTGATTACTTTGTGGATGATAGCAGGTGTAACTATTACGTAAGCCACAGAATCATCTGACAACTCATTAATAATCTTTAAAGCATCTAATTCTGTAGTAAACAAAGCGGAAAGACTCGCATAGGGTTGGCGACTAAATGTATCTGCCATTACATCCACTTTCCCTGGGTGGTACTGTATAGAGAAGTGATAGTTTTTCACAAACTCTAACCACATGCATTGTCTATGACGCCCCATATCCCGTGATCCGGTGTATCAACCAACAAGACTAGAACCCGACCCGATATCGAGTCCAAAATGCAGAAGAAAAAAAAAAAAGAAAAAGAAGAAGAGGTCACTAGGGGTAAACACCACCTTAAGGACAACAAGATAACCTTATAAGAAGTCACAATACTCAATTTAAAGGCAAATATGGAAGCTAAGGTCAAAACGGGCATAATCCAATAACCAAGGGTAAGATGGTTATTTCACAAATGAGGAGAAAAATATGACTCTAAATAAATCAAAGAAGGTCCATTAAAAATATTCTAATTATTTCATAACATCCCAAGAGGTTCTAAAGACTTTAGTCATGGTTTCCTACAAATACCCCTTCTCGATTTAGGTGATTTTTCGACATTATCTCACTTAAATATGAATATATCTCAGTAAGATTGAAATTTAAGAATGATATTGGTATTCTTGAATTTAGGCTTAAGAATGACCCCATTTGGATTTAAAATGAATAAGTTATGATTGTTACAAAATCGGGTTTCAAAACAGACCAAATGATGAACAAGGGGTGTGAACGCTCGGACGTAGCCTTCAAGCACTCTGTATTGGCATTTGGCTATTGGTGAAAAGTAATTTCTGCACCCAAAAATGGTTCCTAAGGGTTCGGTCAAATGCGCAGATGCCCAAATGCACCCTTTTATTTTCATAGCACTGAAAACAAAAAAATGTACAGAAAATTTCTTAGCTGTGGTTTCTAAAACTCAATTAAAAAAAATGTCTATTTTTATAGAATCTTTTTTTATTTTAATAATTTTATAAAAGCAGTTTTATATTTCTAAATTCTCGAGAACTATTTTTTGAAAACTAAACTAAATAGAACCGAGTTGAACAAGAATACTCTCTATAACTTTCTCTACGTTGTATGGTTCTAGACATTCTACATCATTTGATTTTTTTATTATTAAAAAACAATAACTTTTGAGAAAATCAAAACATATGTTAATTAACAAATGTAAAGTATTGTGAACCCTTGTGATATTAATATGTTGGGAAAAAGTAATTAAGATGATTCTTATATGAATATTGTTCACTAAAAGGTTTTAAAACTTGTCAAATACGACAGCCTAACTTGATTATATTTTTTGACCCAATTTTATTCTCTTTTCTTTAGCGTATATTTGTTCTTTATGCTTCGTTTGGTAGGAGGAAATAAAATTAAATGAAAGGAAGAGAAGAATAGATGAATGAGACATCCCTAGAGAAGAAATTGTGTCATTCTTAATGTCATATACCTCAAAACGTTGACGTTTAGAGACATAGTTGACAATCACTTGAAACTAATTAAGGCGATATTTTTCTATTCCTTTAAATAAGCTTATTTTGTTTTTGGAATATTAATCAGCTCTCAAAATAAATCAACGTGATGAAAACTAATTGAAAAAAAATTAAAGGATTTTCAGCAGAGAAGAACAATGTATCATTATATATATATGTTTTGATTCACAAGTGTATTTGTGTGGATGTATTAGTTCTTGTTCAAATTAGATTTATACATATGGATTTGGGTGCACAACCTTACCAATGTATATGCATCTATAAATACGGTGGTTGGTAAAGAGGGGAGTGGTGGTAGGAAATTAAGAGGGGAGGAGTGATGGCCATCGTTAAAGGGTGGAGGTGTAAGAGGTGGAGATGGCCATGGTTAGAGAGTGGGGGTGTAAGAGGTGGAGAAAATAGAGATATGGAAGGAGAGAAATGAGAAAGAGAATAAATATAATAATGGTAATTTTTTTTAATTTTTTGGAATGTTATAACAAGGGTGAGTTATTGTTAGGGGTGCAACTTAATTGGGTTGGGTAACTTGAACCCAATCCGAGCCTAGCCCGAATTTTTGCGAGTTTGGATAATCATTTTTATAATTAGGGTTAGGCTTGGGTTGAAAAATCTCAACCCAAATTTAATTATAGTTGGACTTGGGTTGAAGTGTTAGCAACCCGAGTCAACCCGAACCCGAATTCAAAAATGATTTTCATATATATTTTTACTTTTAAATACATTATATATAATATTTAAACTATAATTACTTTTTTTCTTTTCAACTTCTTTTGTTAAATCTTAACTTATTGTTAGGGCTGATCACGGATCAAATCGGTTCGGTTTGGGGGTAAAGTTTAATCCAATTTGGTCCCTACAGATTGGTGAAATTTGAAACCGAACCAATCTGTGGGGACTTTCAATCCGAACCAAATCGATTCGTGAAATAATGGAATAGATCGGATCAGTTTTCACGAATTGAGCTTTTCAAACAGTACAATATGATTACACTTTATGACTCATTAAAATCTCAAATTAGTAATTAAAAATCTTCGCGGCTGTAATGAAATGAGTAATGAATTTGGGGACGTAGGGTTACCTTAAAGAATAATGAAAAAAAAAAAATAGAAATGCAGTAAGTATATTGTATATATATATATATATATAGTTATAATATATTAATATATAATTAAGGTAACGGATCGGTTTGGTTAACGAATCGGATCGATTTTTCCAGACCCAATCTGTTAACGGAACCGCGAAGAGCAGATTGCTATTTTTCTAAACCATCACCGAACTATGAGATTTGAAAATTGAACCGAACCACATGGATCGAATTGGTTCAAACCAGATTGACGGATTATTTGCTTACCTCTACTTATTGTATGTTAACATTTAAGAGAAATAATTTTCTAAAAATTTGTTTGTAATTTATTAAAAATCTAAAAAAAGTCTTTAAACTTTTTCTTATTTAAGAGTAATTTAATCTAAAACTAATTCAAAATCATATTAATTTTTTATAAAGATTTGCTATATGAGTAACCCGAATTAACCTGAAATTTTTATTCGGAATCTAAGTCCGAGTTGCAAGCCCGAATTTAAAAGTAGAAGGATGAGTTGGGCTTGGGTTGAGTAGTTAAGGTTGAGGATAGGGTTAGGGTTGGGCTTAGGTTTAACATTTTATATGGTGGGTTGGAACCAAGTTATATCTCAAACCCGTCTGAGTTGCAACCCTAGTTATTGTGCCTCAAAATGCCATTTTTTTTTTTTTTTTCGTCTTCCCTCCAAATTTTTAGGGATGAAAATTTGTGAAGGTGGAATGATAACTCATCCATCCTCTTTTCTATTCTCTCATTGCCTCCGCCAAACAAATGAAGTTTGTTTCTTCATTTCTATCTTCCCTCCACCCCTCTTCCTTCTTACCTACCTGCCAAACGGAACATTATGTTTCGTTTGGTTAGATGAAGAATAATAGTAAAAAGTGAAGGTAATAGAAAGTGAAGGTAATAAAAATTTCATCGTGTATTTGTGATTAACATAAAAATAAAATAAAATAAAAGTTCTCTATTTACCCCGATAAATAAAAACCTATTACTTCACCAAGTCTATGTGGCTACTTATGTGTCAAAAATAATGGGCACATTTTAAAATATAAAGTAATTAATTATTTGGAAAGTTGTAGTCTTTTTTTAGGTTCCAACTTAATCTAGTATCTTTGTTAACGATTAAAGTTTGATACTTCAAATTGCATGTTCTATATATAATTAGATTGTGTATCCCGTTATATATTAAATATGGTGTCTTTGATCATTAATATACATCTATTACTTTGATAAGTATTTGTTAGTTGCTATAATGGTCAAAACTAATGATCTATATGACTCCCATAAACAAAAACAATGAGAAGAATTTTTAAAAAATTAAAAATTGCAAAGCATTAAAAAATTATAAAAACATTATAGTTTTTGTTCTAGATTTTGTACAAATTAAATTATCATATTCGAGTACCATGAAACTTGCTGTGAAAACGAAAAAAAAAAATGATACAGTTAAATATGAAAAACTAAAAAGATAAGGAAATGGGTTATGGAAAACTGAAAAGATAACAAAGGGAAAATGGACTAATGTTATGGAAACAAATAATAGTAGTAATGATGCCTATTTAAGTTAGAATTTTAAAATAAAAAAGTCATATTTTTATTTATGTTGATTTTAAGTCGGGTATTAAAGTTGTCAATAATATCATTTTCCTAAAAAAAAATCAAATAAAAAAATTACTATTTTATGGTCTAAATGGTATGAAAATTACCATAAAAGAAAGAGCATTATTATAAGTTCTTAATAAATTAAAATTTTATGAGAAAGTTTGGTGGTTATGGAAAGTAATTTTTCATCAAAATTTTCCTTTTCCTTTTTAGTCAAATTTTATAATTGGAAAAACTTTGAATTTTTAGTGACAAGATTGATTGCCTTTTTATTGCAATTGCCATTAATTTAACCCACATGTTTATTACATATTTATGTTATTAAGAAATCCCAACTCTAAAAAAAAAAAACTCATTATCCCTTGAAATTTTACTCATTTAAAGAATTTTACTTCTCTCTTAGGTTGTTTTTTAAGATAATACTTAGGTCCTCACTAGTGAGGATCTACAACATACTCACATCTGATGTGGAATAATAATAAATGGACACGTCCTATTTTTAAGGACAATACTTAGAGTATCTCCAACCGTTGTGTATATTTTTTTGTATAAATCTGATGTGTCATGATGAATTTACACACAAATTTTGGATTATTTAATTTTAATTACAGCAGTTGTTTTATACCTTTTGTGTAAAAATATATCTCCCAATGATAATCAACCATGTGTCATGCTAGGACCCCACATAACTTTTACAAACCTACTTAATATATAGTTGATTTTTTAATGGAACGAGAAAGAGGGATGAGAAAGGAAATATGTTGATTTGGTAGTGTAAAAATGTTGTATAAAATACACAACCATTTTACATATTGGTGATATAGTAATGTATCTTAACAGACTCCTGGAGATGGAAAAAATTTACACATTATAGGTGGCAGTGTATATTTTACACAAAAATATATTTTAACAGACTGCTAGAGATGCTCTTGAGCCTTCACTAGTGAGGATTTGCAACATACTCACCGTTGATGTGGATCAATAATAAATGGACACTGTCCTATTTTAATTACCAAATCATATATGGTAATTAAATCACTGTCTCTGATTTGCTAAGTGAATATTTACCCACCATCTTTGATTTGGTAATAAAAGATTACATGTCAATTTATTATTGACGCTTTATTATTGGCGTACATCGGTGAGTATGTTATAAATCTTCACTAATGAGGACCTAAGTACTATTCCTATTTTAATTACCAAATCAGATCTGGTAATTAAATCATTATCTCTGATTTGGTATGGCAAAATCTACCACCATTTTGATTTGGTAATTAAAAATCACATGTCAATTTATTATTGATCCACATCAGCGGTGAGTATATTATATAGATCCTCACTCATCTAAGCATTATCTCTTCTTTTTTTTTGTTTTTTTTTTTTTTCCTTCTCTCTTATGTTATTGAGAATCCTAATTCTCTTTTATGTTATTGAGAAATCCCAACTCTATAAAAGACCCACTAACCTTTTGAAATTTTACTTCTACTTCTCTCTCACAGGTTTTCTCTCTCCAAATATAGAGAATCCTACTTCTCTCTCAGGTTTTCTCTTTGTAAGCTTTTAAGTTCCTTCAATCTATTATATATATATATATATTTATTTATTTATATTTTAGAGTTAAATATTTTTTTTTTTTTTTTTTTTTTTTTTTTTGACCTGACAATGGTTAGTAGTTAATGGGACAGGAATTGAACCGAAGACCATAAGGTGAAGAGCACTTAAGGGCTTGGGTCTTTCCACTAGGGGTAAGGAGCACTTAAGGGGAATTGAACCGAAGACCATAAGGTGAAGAGCAGCTTAAGTACTTGGCCCTTTCCACTAGGACAACACCGAGTGAATAGCATCTTTAAGTGCTTGACCCTTTCCACAAGGGCAACCCCGGGTGAAGAGCACCTTGAATGCTTGACCCTTCACTAGGACAACACCACCATGTCTTATTGTTATTAATACTTGAGTTGCATAATAAATAGAATTCTAAACAAAGTACAAATCTAAAATATAAACCCATTCAAATTAGTATTGTGAGGCATATTTAAGTATATTCAAGTGAGAGTGATGGGAGAAAAGAGTCGAGGAGAAAGTTGAAGATACTAGAGAGAATTTAGGGCTGAAGATATTTGAAGAGAGAAGTAAGTTACAAATTTATCCCTTCACGTATGTTAATTTTTTCTTCTTCTATATTTCATGAAATCAATCTGTTTTTCGTGTGATTTCAAAAATAACAACATTTTTTCCTTTTTAACCCCTTCAAATTCGCACGAGCGCCCATACTAGATCTAGAGTCCAAACCCGTCTTCTCTACAACTCAAAGGAGTGTTTGATGTTTTACCATCGCAGTAAACAGTTTCCACTCAAACAGTAAACACCGCCAAGGTGGGTGCCTCCCTTCTCCAATCGCCTGTTCTCTCTAAGACTCGAAGGTTATACATTTATATGTATATATATTTAGAGAGAGAAGGCGACATAAGCCCTTATAATGCCATTAAACGCAACCCATTAGCCTACCAATCTCGCCATGGTGAGATTGCTACTCGTTGGGTATATTTTCTAGATCCGTCTGCGACATACTCTCTCCATGGTGATTTCTAAACCATTGCTCAGTAACTTTTCAATGTGGATGGACCATTGTGGCTTCTCATGAATGTACTTGTACTTTGAATGAAGTACAATACTAGGTAAAGGGTTCACTTTTAACCGGTTGCTTTTGTTCATGTCTAAAACCCTAAGTTGAGAGTTTCTCTCTGCTTATGTATAGATTTTTGGTACTCGCTCTCTCTTTTTTCCCTAGACCAAGTGCTTAGATTAGCTTTTTGGGAACAGTTTTGACAAGGTAGTTTTGACCCGAAAACACTCATTCCCAATCGGTAACAGGCCAACATATGCTATTTTTCCCCCCATAGTTTTGGGCCCCGAAATCGCGTTTTCAGTCCCATTTTTGTTAGAAATCTACACGGACTTAAATTCAAGTTTTAGTCTAGGTTAGAAGTCTAAACGGACTCCAATTGTTCAATTTTGGTATTAGTAGTTTTTAGTGATTAGGTTTCTTATAGCTTTCCTTATGATATTTGGTTTTCTTATGCCATTTGTAGAACAAAATTAATTATTAATAATATTTTTAGTGTTCTTTTGGCCTATACTTTGTGGATTTAAAGTTGTTTATTGTTCATATTGTTCTAGCCCGTCACTTACCTTCTCGTTCCTAATATCTCTCTCACACTTTGATTAGCAAATTTCTCTCTTCTGATTATTCATGTGATGTTGTGGCCTGAATTTTGTTTCAAATTGAGTTGTGTTGTGATCCTCCTTTTGACCGAAAAATGAGTTTTGATCCAATTTTTTTGCTTGAGCATCATGGATCATGTTTAGAACTATCTTGTAGTCCGGTATATAAGGGGCATTTAGGATTTGGAGTGGGATAAGGAGAGACATTGAAAATCGCAATAAAGAGAGTGAGTGAGTGAGTGAGAGCTAGAGTTTTGGGATTGAAAGTTGTAATTTTCTATTTTCCGTATACTGAAATCTTTCATCGGATCATCACCATGGACGTAGGTACAACTTGTGCTGAACCACGTAAATCTTTGTCTTCTTTGTGTGTGATGTGTTTACTTTTTAGCTGTGATTCGTGGTTTGTTCTTGGTTTGCTATGTTTTCCCTAACAATTCATATAATTTATTTCAACATTCTCATTTCAGTTATGTGATGGGGTGTTCTTGTTTCTGTTTTAATGCCCAGCACTCTGTCCCATATAAGATAACTGACTTAATAACCATCTTGTAAATTTTCTCTTAACGTATTCGGTAATTTATTTATTTATTATCACAAAGGATGCTACTAACCTATGTCCATTATGTCCATCCTAAATTAATCCTGCTAGTAATATCTTTATCTATCTCCCCATTTTTTTTGTACTATTGATACCAAGTATGGAAAATATTATTTTGAGTAATTCTTTGTGCTTTGTTCGGATGGAAAGAAAAAAATTGGATGGAAGGGAGAGAAGAAGGGATGGATGAGATATCATTAGGAAAGAGATTATGTATTTCGAGAAGAGAATAAGCTCATAATTTATTATATTAGTCAGGAGATAAGGACATAGAAAGTTTTAATTATTTTTACCATTATATCCAATAATATTTATAATATTGTAATTTATAGATGATAGTATTGTAATTTAAAACTTGTATAAATTAAAATAGTATTTAATTTAAATCTTCTATAATAGTCTACTTGTCTTTTCCCCTTTCTTTCGCCCATTTTTAGGTGGATGAAAATTTGTAAAGGAGGAAAGAAGAGTCATCCTTTCTATTCTTCTTTCTTTCCTTGTTTCATCTCTACCGAACCAAGGAAATTCGTCACTTCCTTCCTATTTTCTCTCCACACCTCTTCTTTCCTTCCTACCGAACACAGCATTGGTCTTGAATTATTATTGTTAATATCAAATTCCAGGCTAGGAACTTGTCAAAAAAATATCACATTCCAGGCTAAGAAGCACGGATACTTCCCTGAAGGTGCCGTGGCGGTATCGGACACGTGTCCCGTCCCGATACTCCTGGGATACGCCCAGAAATGTGTCTTTTTAAAATAAATTTTTAATTTCGGATACGGCTGGAATACGCTGAGGATACTTTTTGGATACGGTTGGGATACGCCGAGGATACTTTTCAAAGAGGAATTTTAAAAAATTGATGCAAATCAACAGCTTTTTCCCCCTATGATGAATGGTTTAAGGCATTAAGTTTATTTGATGTTTAATGTGTTGTGAAATGAAATATTATGTTTTATTTACTTGTTTCTTTATCTATGAATATGTTAATTATTGCATTTAAATTCATAATATTTTAGGAAATTGATAAAAATTTGATTTTTATGTAAAAAAAATATATATTTTTTAAAAATTGCCGTATCCTACTGTACCCATATCCTTTTTTATTTATTTATAGATTTGGCGTATCCCATGTCCGTATCGTACTTGTGTCCCCGTGTCCGTGTCCGTGCTTCTTAGCTTTCAGGTCTTACTAATTCTTTATTCTTTTAATTCTAATGCATTTATCTAAGTTTCTAATTTTGTTACCGAGACTTCAGTGTATCCAACAACGCTGTGTGATGTCCCACATTGCTTGGGGAAGAGGTTGTTGGCATTTATATGTGTGAATGCCCCTTAGTTATGTAGATGCATTTTGAAAACAGTGAGTGTGCAATATTTACACAACGGGACGAGACTTGAAAGATGGTATCAAAGCTAATCCCCAACTGGAAATTGGGGGAGCACGCACAAGCTCATGAGAGTCCGTTGGCCTCCAGGTCTCAGGAGGGGGTTATTGTGACCTTCCAAAGTGCTAGGGAGAAAAGTTGCTTGCACTTGTGTAGATGCCTCCTAACTGTGTAGGTGCGTTTTAAAAATTGCGTTTTAAAAACCGCGTGGACATGCAAATAAATTGAGTTGTTTATGAACAACTTGGGCGTGGCTCGTTTAAGGCTCGTCTTGCGTTCGTTCATTAAGTAAACAAGTTGAGTTCAAGCTCGATTTCTAGACTTGTTTAGCAACAAGCCGATCCTCAACAATAATGGCCTCGACTTGTCTGGGCTCTTGAACATGAGTTTGTGTAGGCTCGTATATGTTCACGAACATGTTCATAAACATAGGTTTGTATAGGTTCGTGAACGTAATATGGTGAACATGCTCATTAACGTAGGGTTGTGTAGGCTCGTTTGCGTTCATGAATGAGCTAAAACGATCTTGAACATGAGCTCGAATGAATTTTGTACTAAACGAGCTGAGCCCAAGCTTCTCAAAATGATGACAAGCCGAGCCTAAGCTCAAATTTTTGAGCTCGTCACGAGCCCGAGCCGAGCCGAGCCCATAAACGAGATTGAACATGCTCAACCTCTGGTCGTCTCGGTTGCATGAAGAGTGTGTAAAGCGGATAATATGTACAAAACTGGGTGGGTGACACTATGTCATCAGTGAACTTGTACTAGGCAGTGTTGTTAAAAATGCGCCTAGGCTTCAGGCTCATACAGGTTGTCTGCCCAAGTGCGCCTTTTACAACATTTGCGCCTTTAATATGGAATACTAATATGCTTCAATAGTAATTTAACTTTTCAATTGTGCGCCTCAGCTTGTGCCTAGGCTCCAAAGGACCTCTAGCGCCTTGGGCCTTTGATAACACTGTTAACCAGGGAATGTTCCTTGGTGTAGTCCTACTTGTATAGAGAAATCATTAGTTTCTCCGCACATGGTACGAATTTTAGTATTTTTCTCATTATACATATCCTTAATAATCTTTATAAGATTTAAAAGGACTCCTTTTTTTAGTGTAGCCCACCATATAATATCCGTAGTACAAAATTGAAGCTCATTATTTGATTTAGTGGGACTGGGGACTTGAATGAGTTGAAGCTCATTATTTGATTTAGGGGGATTGGGGGCTTGAACAAGTTGAGTTTAGGCTCCCGATTAGACTGTTCTTGACCCTACAAAGAAATGTGAAAGGGTTCCATCTATTTTGACACAGGGTTTTTGAAGCATTAAATGAGTCACTATTTCCATTATTGATCATATTAGTCTACATTTTTTTTAATAGTGTACCGGGGTGGCAAGGTTAATGGTGAGTTAATTTTGCTTTCAGGGTTGAATTTCAGAACAAAGAATTTTAAACTACCAATTGTAAAATGAAGATGGCAGTATTGCGGGGTGGGAAGGATTGTGATAGACAGGAGAAAGAAAATAACACTTCTTTGTGCAGGGGAGGGGTGATTGAGCCAAGACTATCTATTTTTGGCAAATTTGCTGATTTGGAGATGTTATCTTGGATAAGACGACTTGCTCTGGATCCTTGTAATTCAGGGATATCAATGGCTAAAATTCGACCATTATGGAATCAGACTCTGAAAGTACGAAAAATTATGGAGCTGAGTGATAAAGAATGTCCTCAGGTATGCTAAAAATCATATTGCTCTTTTATCAATCTCCCTCCCATTTTGCATGAACTCAGTGATAGCTATGTTGTAATTGTTTTATTGATTGATCAAATTGAAAGATTAGCATGCTGGTTGCAAAAATTAGACCCTCCTGTTTCCCATGTTTGTAGTAATAGCCTACACTAGTTATGCATTGCCATTCTACTTTATGTGAGGTCATATTTCATTTTTTCCTCTTCCTTTTCTTTTCTGAATTATGTACATTAGTTATTTTTCTTTTCTCCTTTTACGGACTATTTATTGATGCAATAATAAAAAGTGGGGTTTTCAAGCGTGAGAATGTGGTTTTGAGAGGGTAGCCACTTGTCATTAATGCAAAAGATTAGATTTGTTCCCACTACACACATCCCTATACCTTAAATAACTATGCTTCGCTTTTTTTTTTTTTTCCCTGAATGTGTTGATTTTATTCCAAAAAATGAACAGTATGATACATACAAAAGTAGTGGCAGAACTAGCTAACCACAAGAAGCACAGGGCATACCCTTGGCTAGAAAAGCTACAAGACAGAGACAATAAAATGTCTCACAGGAAAAGAACTGCAAACAGTAAAAATAAAATATAAGATCTAAAACTGTCAATTGCCTTTATTCACATTAGGTATTTTGCTACTGCATTAACCCTTTTTCGTATATTAATAACTTCTTGATTGCTTGAACTATCATCACTTACCAACACCTAGCCATTGCCTAGCACCAAAAAAGTCACACTCTTTCTACCTTCTTACTCCCTTGTCCTCATAGCACCATTAGTATGAACCAAATATCTTTATGCTTGATCATTCCTCATAACCAAACCATTTTAGCCAATCTTTTCTCATCCTTGGAATTATGAGTTGCTTCAACATTCCGAACACATTCTTGTAAAATAATATGGGTTCTTGTCTTGCCATTCATTATGCCATTCTCATTTCTTTCACTTTCTTTTAGTAAGATTATTGGTATTATACCGTGCAAAATTGTGCAGCTTGGTTAGTTTTTTACCTTCTATAACGACCCTCACCCTACCTAGACACAATATTGTCCGCTTTTGGCTCCCCCGGACCAGAGACTTCCCAGGGGGTCACTCATCCTGGTACTACTCCAGGTTAAACACGTTTAACTCTGGAGTTCTGGTGGGTTCACGGCCATCACGGCTTTAAAACACGTTGTGTCATAGAAGGGTGTTGAATCTATATATAAAACTTGTCCCATCCACACCCAGGCGATGTGGGATTGTGCACCTGTAGCTCGCTCAGTGTGGTATCTTATTGGTGCCACCTGCACACGCTCACTCACACCCGCCCACAAGGTCGCCACAATCACCCCCCTTTGGGGCCCAACGTCCTCGTTGGCCACACTTCCGGCTGAGTCAGGCTCTGATACCATTTGTAACGACCCTCACCCTACCCAAACAAAATATTGTTCGCTTTTGGCTCCCCCAGACCAGAGACTTCCCAGGAGTCACCTATCCTGGTACTACTTCACGTTAAGCACGCTTAATTTTGGAGTTCTGGTGGGTTCACGGCCATCACGGCTTTAAAACGCGTTGTGTCATAGAAGGGTGTTAAATCTACATATAGCACTTGCCCCATCCACACCTAAGTGATGTGGGATTGTGCACCTATAGCTTGCCCAGTGTGGTAGCCTACTGGTGCCACCTGCACACGCTCACACACACCAGCCCACAAGGTCGCCACACCTTCTTATAAACCTTCCCCCGATATGCATCAAGCAAACAACACTTCAAAAGCACTCTTTATTTAATTCATCCTGTTTCAATTTTGTAGAAATTGATTCAATTTCTCTTTCTTTTGGATAATTTGGCCGAAATTGCGGAACTAGCGAACTTTGATAATTATCAATCTTAACTTCTCAATCGGGGCAACTAAAAGGGGAGGGGGAAAAAAAAAACTCATATATAATAGGGCAAAGTATAGAAAACTCCCCTCGACTTGTAGTCTTTTCTAGTGAAAAACCCCTTGTGTATTTTTTTACCAAAGAACCCCCCTCGATTTGTAACCCTTTCCAATAAATCCCTTGTCTAATTTTTTTACCAAAAAATCCCCCTCAACTATCTAAGGGGGGTTAAAGAGTTGATATTTGGACCAAAATATCCTTTTATTTAAATATTAATTTTTTTGAATTTCAAAAATTCATATCTCACAAACCATATATCCAAATATTGCAAATAATATATGCATGGAAATCTTATAAAACAAGAATTCCAGAAATATAAAATTTGTTTAACAAAACCTCATAACCAGAGATAAATAGACAATCTAAAAATCTACTACAACAATCTTATTTTATTTTATTTTTTATAAAATACTTGGGTTATTTGCAAGAAAATTTTCAGAATTATTTATTTTCATATGGAGCATAACATATAAAAAAATTAGCCCCAACAGAGACTGAATATTCTTTTTTATTTATTTTTAAATGGTAAGTCTATAAAAGAATGAAAACACCTCGACACAAAATATGATATCTCATGAAATTGATCTTTGTTAGGGCTAAATTTTTTATATATTCGGCTCCATATGTAAACGAATAATTCTGAAAATTGTCTTGCAAATATCTCGAGTATCTTATTTTTAAAAAATAAAATAAAATTACTGGAGTAGATATTTAGATTGCCTATTTCTCTTTGGTTATGAAGGTTTGTTATACAAGTCGTATATTTGTGAAATCCTTATTTCATAAGCTTTCTGTGCATATATTATTTACAATTTTTCAATGTATGGTTTGTGAGATATGAAATTTTGAAGTTCCTGGAGAATTAAGATTTAAATAAAAGGGCATTTTGGTCTAAATATCAACTCTTTTACCCCCTCAAATAGTTGAGAGGGGTTCTTTGGTAAAAAATTAGACAATGGAGATTTATTGGAAAAAGGCTACAAGGCGAGGGGGGTTCTTTGGTTAAAAAATAGACAAAGGGGGTTTACTGGAAAATGCTACAAGTTGAGGGGGGTTTTCTGTACTTTGCCCTATATAATATACACACATATTAAAACTGAGTTTATAGAATATGAAATGTAGCCTAAGTATCGTTCAATTTATATACCTATAGGCCACAATCAAGCTGAACATTAAGTGGCTTGATCTCAATCAAACAACTCTTTGAGTTCGAGCCTCAAGTCAAGCCTAGATATAATTGTTTGAGCTTGACTTGGTCAATGCTTTCTAAGCTCAAACTCCACTCGTTTGGCCAATCTTGAGCTGAAACTTGAACTCGAGTTTGAGATTATTTTTTCCCTTGAAAAGTTTGCTATAAAACACAAGTCAAATAGACAATTAGTTGAGAATGTAGGAGTAAGCAACAATACTTGCATATGCCTTTTATAAGATTTAGAAAAATCGTATGATAGGTCCCAAGATATATAATTTGGTGGGCCCTAAATGGTGACACTAGTGAGTTTTCCATAAACGTAGGATTGCACCAAGGATTGGTGCTAAGTCCATTTTTATTTTCAATAATCTTAGATGCGATGACAAAATAATTCCAAAACCAGATCCCGTGGTGCATGATGTTTGCCGATAAATATTTAAAAGGATTGAGAATTAGTCGAACTAAAAACCAATATATGGAGTGTAAATTTAATAAAGATTCTAAACCAAAAGGATGGAGAGATAGATATAACTAGTAGAATTGGAGGTTGGACAAAATGAAGACAAGCTAGTGGGATTTTTATGTGATAAAAGAATAACACATGGGCTAAAAGGAAAATTGGATTGTTATTAGACCAACTATGTTGTATGGAGCAAGAGTGTTGGGCCATTAAAAAGAAACAAGAATAACGTCTTCATGTAGCGGAAATGAGAATGTTACGATGGACGAATGGTCGGACGAGAAGAGATAGGGTTTTATTTTTGGTTGAATTAGAGGAGATAGGGTTACTAATAAAAGTGTGAGGAAAATTAGGTGTAGAACCCATTGGTGAGAAAATTAGGAGAGTAATATTTAGATGGTTTGGACACATATATCGGAAACCTAGAGACGTGCCGGTCAAATGAGGAAGACTAGTTGTAATAGAAGATGAGAGACGGGGAGGGCGACCCATGTTAATTAAAATGACTTTAAAAGGTTAAATATAGTAGGTAAAATGGCATGTAATAGAAAAGATTGAAGAAAGAGAATTCATGTGGTCGACCCCATTTATATGGGATTAAGGCAAGGATGATGATGATGTTGAAGACCCATTAGATGAGTCATGTTCTTAAGTCTTAATAAGCGTGTTCACAAACACATGTTTGAACGTACGTGTAAACCTAGATAGCTGAGCGGTGGATGTTCAGAATCGACTTGTTTATAAATGAGCTCAAAAATGTTGTTTAAGCTCGGCGCTTTTCTTTTTGAGACCCTACTATCTGTTCATGAACAAAGCTCTTCATTTGCAACCCTATAAAATATATCTATATTTGCTATTACTGGAATTCTTATTGATATTGTAACAATTGTATATATCTTTTTATAAATTCAAATAAATGAAGTTTCAATTCATTTTTGGTATGCGTTCACGAAACATAACAAGATACCTTAATCTAACATTCAATTTAAGTTGACAAGAAGTCATACTGTACACCTTAACTAAACTGCTCAAGATAGAGTGCATAATAAGAATTGTTGAACCAAAAATTGTGGCCCAGCCACGTGGCCCTAGTGTTAATCAGTAGATTAGTTGAAAGTTGGGACTACCATATGGTAATAGGGGAGGTAACCACATTCTCTTTCTAAACAAAGCATTGGATTGTGCTTTCAGCGCTCTAAGTTATGGTTATAAAACTCGTGTTCCAGATCATAGGATTGTCCTATGATTCGAAACTATCAAATGGATCTAGGTTGGTTCGAACATTGCAGAGGTATAGGATTGTTGTGGAATAATCATATGATTATTCAGGATTATAAGATTGACATAGGATTGTAAGAGTGGCGCAGTACAGAAGTAATTGTGAAAATGTTTCAGTTAGAAAAAACCTGGAGCGAGTGGGTGGAATCTCCTTGGGTGGCTTTCAGATTCTCTATTCTTGGTTCTCTTTTCTTTTGGCTTCAGGTGTATAATTGTTAATCTTCAGACATCCTCTTGTCATTTGTTGGATAGCTTGAGGCTATAGGTTTAATTCACGACTTTTCGCAATGATCAAATGTCTTCCTCATTCCACTAGTACGTTCCAAGAAACTGGATGATTTATTGGTATGATTGAATGATTTTTGGTTATGCGTGCAATGCCAACGATCAGAAGTTAACGCACAAAACTAATACTCACGTGTAAAAGTGTGCAAAAGATTGAAAGAAACAAAGAGAATTTTTCATCAAGTTTTTTTTTTTTTTTTTTTTTTTCTCCCAAAAATCTCTCTAATCACTTCTCTCTTTTTTCATTAAATTTTTTTTTTGAGCTTATATTTTTTTTTTTTTCCTAATTAGTACTCACACACACTTGTCTCTTCTGAGACTTGAACTTCTGACCTCCCTTTGGGAAGTGCCACTGGCCCGTTGGTTTTATTTATTTATTTATATTTTATTTTTATTTGTTTTTTTTTTTTTTTTAGCTTATATTAAGAAGAACCTCCGATTTTATGTTAAAAAGGTCTTCTAAAAACATTAAAAAACAATCTTAAAAGATTAGCAAGAAGTTGGAACGAAATCATGGTAAGAATCAAAGTCGTCCTTGAATTGGGAAAAGGTTGACCGGTGCAACTTCTCAATAGACTACGTTGGACCAGTGCATGTCAAAAATTGCACTGGTACAGTTGCTTTCTGGATTTTAAACAACTTTAAGGCAGTAGCAAGTTGGACCGATGCATGCAGAAAGTTCCATCGGTGCAAATGTTTACTGTTCAATTATTAACCTAAAGCATTTTCCAACTTCTCAAACATAAAGAACACTTTAAAAATATATTTTAAGCATCAAGTGCTCTATTACCACTCTACTAACTAGGAAAAATAAAAAAAAAAATTACCACGCTACTTATTTGACCCTTTAGTGTGTGTTATTTGTTGATCTTCAAATTGATGAATTTGATCCTTCGAATGATGAAGCTCGAAACAAAATTGCAACTGGATATGGTTTGGGTTCAAGATTTGCCAACACAAAATCTCAACTACGAAGACTCAGAAGGAGGTACAACTATCGTCCCTAGGTCAACTCAAACAGCCGGTTCAGAGCAACTCTCTAACAGATTGTAGTAGGACCGCACCATGAGATTGTTGAATATCATTTAGGTGTATAAAGGAATCTGATGATTTGTTTGTTCTGTCATTATACTTAAAATTATTTACGGATGCACCGATTCTATGTCTTTTGTCAAAAGTGCTCTTTGTTCTTTTGGAGAATTGTTTTGGCTCATTTCCTTAAAAAGTAATTTTGGTACTATAAGAAAGCAAAAGGCAAAAAATGAGAATACAAGGATTTGAACCATGATTTCCCTATGTACAACTTTACAACTTGTAAATTGCATAATGAGGGTTTTACCTTCTAAAATACATTATCAAATTTATTTTTGGTGGAATTTGTTCACAGATACATTCTCCATATGTTTGTAATAATATTTCTATATATTTTTGTGTTTTAGACTTGGTCTCTTTCTAATTTTAACAATTCTTTGTTTATACATATAATTGAGTCTTTATCTATCCCGCATGTTATACAACAGTACTTTCTATGATTCAATCCTATTAAACCTTAAAGATCAGACATTATAAGCTGCTTGGGCCGAGGATGCGGTATGTCAACTTGATAGAAGGTATGTTGCCTGAGAGAATCATGGTCCAACTGTGAGGTCATCATACTGAGTTTTGGACATGTTTGGTGACACTAGAGTTTGGGCAAATTGAGATGTTTCCACGTTGGTCATACCAGATAAATGGTCTTATCTTGACCAATCCAAGAAAAGAAGGAAAGATGACATCATATTTATTACACATGATGTGAGTAGCGCAAATTTGGACATCGTTACAGTTTCCCTGTTGGTGACCTACCTGGCCTAAGCTGGCATCCCAGTGATGCTGGTCTTGCATGCCAGCAATCCCAGTTGCTTTGTAATTGACTCCAAGCCTAGCTCAGTTGTCCACCACAATCTTGGGGGTTGCTACATAAGGTCAAGCAACCCTTTATGATAGGATGATGTTTGAACTAGGTAGTGTTTGGACCAGAAGGATTGGATTCACATTCTTTGGGCCAATCCACTGCCAATTTCAATAAACTTCCATCCTCTTTTCTGACTTCCCCACTCCAATTCATATTTATTCCAATGGATTCCTTTTGTGCATGAAATATCTACTGTGCTCAAGATCCCTGTCATCAACATATGGAAGACGCATATAGCAATAATATAGTGAATCTACAAAAGTACACGCGACTCACACACAAACACGTGCGCACGCACACACATATATAGAGAGAGGTTGTTAATAAGTATCAAACCACGTGAGATTATCACATGGTCCCGGGCCAATCACAACCTGACATGCAAACAAAAATCTGAATAAAACTGGCACAATTTCTTGCATGTGGTTGTGATTAGACGGGACCGTGTAGTACCAGACCATTTAAAAAATTCTCATCAAACCACACCTAATGTAAAAAATTTAATTCTTGTAGCACATATAAAGCTTACTCGGACATATTTTTCTGTCAAGCTAGTGGATGGATTATGTGCTGCTCCCATGGTTCCCATTCTTTATAATTAGAAATTTAATTAGCAATTTGAGAGCTGCACCAATCATATAGTGTAATGGTGAAGAGCTACTATCATAATAATTTTTTGGTGTGGGTCTGAGAGAGCACATGCTTTTAATTTTGTGGCATCTTCACTCTTCTCTAAATTTAACATTTTGTCTTCTTCTAACTCATAGTTTCGTAGGTAGCAAATGACATGCACCATGGGTCTTCTTCTTAAATGCGCACCATACTTCACTACAACTAACTCAAAAAGATATATATATATATATATATATATATATATATATATATTTTATCTTAAGTAAAAAATATTAAACGAAATTCTCAAAAAGATATGTGGTATGTATGAGCACCTATTGTAAGTGAATTGTAATTACAGTGACCACTTTTGTGTTCAGTAATTTATCAGGCACTAGAATAATTTTGGATTCAAGAGTGAGTTGGGAATATATTTGGGATAAGTTGGAGGAAATTTGAGAAAAACAATAAATGTTAGTGAGCAATATGTGTTGCTTTAATACGACAGAATTATTTCGATATATGGGACTAGTTTGAAAATTTTCTCGTATGGGCAACTTTGAATTGTGCAGAAGTGGCGAAAATTTTCTAGTATGGCATGTACATGCCATGGAATGTTATGGGTTTTTTTCGGGAGCTTTTGGAGAGATGCTGAATGACTAAGCTCCACATGGAAACATGTATTTCTCAGCATTACTTTATTTTATTTAATTTTTCTTTTTACACATGAACACATTGGACAATTTTGAATATTTTGGGAGTGCTTTTTGTTTAGCTTTCATGTTTATATTATTTTCTCTTTTGCTGACTTTTTGTTTGGTTTCATATGTATGCATCAGTTAACATTGTTTGTTAGATTTATATAATATGATGTTCTGCAAATAGTTTAGGAAGAAAGAATTAGGTATGCTACATCGCATCTTTATCATCATCCTTGTCTTTATCCCATATGAACGGGGTCACCTCCTTCATGTTTCTTAATTTCCTATAGTTAAATTTAGTTCTTCGTTTTCAAAAGCAGTTTTCATTCAGATTTCAGATATGATATCTTGTACATGAACCTCAATATATTTTACTTCTCGCAATTCTGAGAGAACGACCTTTTGCCTGTCTCATTTTGACAGAGAAAGCGAAAACTGCATCAATTTCTAAAAGAGAAGTTCCCAAATGCACGTGGATTGGCTTCAGAAATGTCTGTTCAGCAAAATGTCACAAAATTGAGTAGAGGGCATTTATCTCATGCCTCTTCAGTTTCATGCTTGCTCAATATGGTTGACCATAATGAAAGTTTTAACCAGAAAATTGTCTCGAACTCCCGCAGTTCAGGCAGCTTACTGACATTTGAGGATAATCTTCCAGAAAATGCTGTACCTTCTGAATTCTCCTTTCTAGATAAGGTATCACACTGGAGTGTACCTAACGAGAATATCTCTCCCTCAGCTGATTCTGATGAGTCATTCAGTGGATCAAACCCATCAAGTCGCGAGACCCTCTTCGACTCACCCTCACTGGATTTTGACGACTCGGTTCACAGTTCAAACACCTCAAGTTCCAAGGAGCTAAAGCAAATGAATGCTCAGGCACCTCGACGGTCAATCAGGTTACTGAACTTCATTGGTGATCACCTTCAAAGAATGGTTATTCCAGTTGGTCCCCGTTTCCAAGCTGATGTTCCAGACTGGACTGGACCAGTGAACATGGGAAAACTTAATGGTGGAAATGCTGATTCCGAAAACTTAAGGTGGTTGGGCATCCGAATTTGGCCCATGGAAGGCACAAGTACAGGAATTGATGCAGGAGCAGTTGGAAAAGGTAGACCTGACTCTTGCTCATGTGTCTCTCCAGGATCCACTGATTGCATTAAACACCACATTTCTGAGGAACGGCTCAGGCTGCAATCTGATCTTGGTCCTGCTTTCTTGTGTTGGAAGTTCGATGAGATGGGAGAAGAAGTTTCCGAAGCATGGACATTGAAGGAACAAAAGAACTTTGAGTCACTTATGAAAAAGTATCCACCATCAAATGGAAAGAATTTTTTGCAGAATGCCTTGAAGTGCTTCCCATCCAAGTCAAAAGAGCGCATTATAAGTTATTTCTTCAACGTGTTCATTCCTAGGCGAATAAGCCTGCAGACCAAGAAATTCGTAAAACAAATCGACAGTGATGATGACGAGGCAGAGGATGTCAATTGTACGTACTTACAGGAAAAATGTAACGGTAGGAGCACTATCAGAGGCAATTCTAAAGATCTGAAGACTCGATACTTGCGTGGGCGTTCTTGATTGCTTGGAAGTTAACAGTTTAAACCCATTGCAATCATTCAAGTTCAGAAGGTTATTTTTGTGGACCTGATATTGCAGCCATTCTTTTCAAGTAACCATATATTAATCCCATTGCAACAAATTGAGTTCAGAAGGTTGTTTTGCAGCGATCCTTTTTCTAGTATACCTCAGCAGTGTTGCGTGTACTTCACAAGAAATTAGATCAACATATTAACTCTTAGAAAATTTCCCATTCCCATGGCTACTTTTGTGGGGGGTAGTGCATCTCTCCCTTTCCCTCTCCTCTGCAGTTTTGTTTGTAGCATCTGTGTTTGTATGATTTTGATGTTTGAACATTTCCAGTCATGGAATTTAAAATACAAAGTGTTTGAGTGGTTCATCGATATGTTTTTAAGCTTAATGATGCCGCATGTGTTGTGATGCAACTGCGTTATTGTGATTGTTAGTAGAGTTTATGATTTATGTAGATATTATGAATTGTGTGAGTTTATTGTTTGAGTATTGTTATTTTGCCCGAATTAAAAAATATTACCATTACCATTTCTACGTGGATGTCATGGCTACTTTAAAATCTAAATATATCAATATAGATGTCACGGCTATTTTAAAATCTAAATATATCAAAATGGCTGTTAACAAAAGTTGAAAGATCATTTTCTCTCTCTAACCAAATAAAGCAATAATGCATCCTCTCTCCGCATCCTCTCCTGAAAATTGCAATAACATCTCCCAATATTCCCTAAAACATAATCAAGAATATGCAATGACTCCTACAGATTAAATGAGTGTTTACTATTTATTATCACTTCTTCTTGTTCCCCATGTTTCTTTCTTCTTTTTTATTTAATGATTTTTCAAATGACAGAGTAGAAAAAAATTACATTCGAGTCTCTCACTGGCAAAAAAGAATTTTGTAAAGATATATATATATATATATATATAGAAAAAAATTCTGTTCAAATCTCTCACTGGAAAAAGAATTTTGTAAAGAAAAAAAATTCCGTTTGAGTTCGAGTCTCTCATTGGAAAAAGAATTTTGTAAAGATATATATATATATATATATATATATATATATATATATATGGAGAAGAAAACAAGAAATTAAAAGGGTTTTCGTCCGAAAAATATAGTGAATTTAATCTGTGATGAGAGAGATTTGAAACAGCTATTATTGTATTGCCACGTCAAAGTCGGTTTTTCTATCGGTATGAAAGTGTCATCAAAATTATCATTTTCCTTATTGTTTATGCCTTGTATATGTTGGTGTGACTTCGTAAATGTTATGTTCAGGTATACAATTTCCAATGGTAATGCAAATAGATATCCAAGGTCTCAAATTTATTCTCTCTTCAAAACAGCTTATTCGAAAATGATTATGAAGATTTAGTTGTTTTTGAAGGTTAGAAATTATGTTGATCGAGACCACTTACTCCATTACAATGTATGGATTTATGGTTTTGATTTTTTGCATCTATTTGTTTGATTAATGGAAGTCGTCAAAAGCTTCTTGCCGATAACTAAGGTTTTGAAGACATGTATGCTTTTGTGCTCTTTTCACATGGAAAATCGAATAAGAGAAGTTCAAGTCACCAGGGGCAATAATTTAGTTGGTATTATCTTACCTTCTAACGTAAGTCATTAGTTCAAGTTTTTACGGAATCAAAGTGTGGGTGTGGGAATTTCTTGTAAAATTGTTTTAAAAAAATGTTATGGACTATAATGTAACCATAAAAATCACACCGATTCAAGTTTCTACGGAATGAAAGTGTGGGTGTCGGAATTTCTTGCAAAATTATTTTAAAAAATGTTATGGAATATAATGTAAGCAGAAAAATCTACAATTGATAACACCAATTAGTCACGTGTCTCACGCAACCATAGCTAGTCACGTAGTGTCTATTGTAGCATTACTGTTGTACAAAATTAACTTTTGATAGATTTATGGAAGGAAAAAAAAAAAAATTAAAATAAAAACGAAAGTATAGTCAAGTGTGTGATAATAAGCATATACGTATCTTTTAGTTTTGGTAACATAATAACCGTCCAAAAATGTCTAGGATGTTGCTCCAAATTTCACCTTACAGGATGTTTTAACTTTGATTTTTGTGGCATTAATTAACAATAAAAATAATAAAATAAAAATCATTGCTAGGTTTGATTTTTCTGTGTTTTGCTGATGGGATTTGAGCCAACCAACCATTGTTAAAGTTTAGACAGCTTTGTGGGCTTTCTTGGTCAAAGTTCTTTTTCGCAACCAAAGCATGTATATTTTTTCTTTAGACTGTAAAATGGCCTCAAGTTCTTCTCTCTTTCTTGATTTCACATTTAAGGTCATACATTTATCCTAAAGTAAGTGCAAAACCATTTTGATCAACCTCTTGCTCGCATGATCATTTTAGATGCCCTCCATGTTTAACATGATTGACCAAATAACAAAAGAATCTCACAACAACCCACTCACCAGTATGAATGATTGTTCTCCTGTACAAGGAAGTCAAAAACAGCCAGTGTGGGATGGAGAAAAATGAATGTCCAAGCCCCAAGGATAGCAAATAAAAATTAAATAATTTTACTGAAAAAATAAAAAATAAAATTTAAATAGACTAATTCAAATGCCATGTAAAACAAATATAGGGACTTCATTAACACACTCCTTTATTAGTTCAAAGAAGCAGAAAAGTTGGAAGTACTCTCAACCATTTTGAAGAAACTAAATCAATTTAAAGTCCAGAAAAGCAAACCTAAGGTTTTATGAAGAATAATTTTGTTCCAAATCTGTCATTTACATTCCACAATAGATTACATGAACAGATTGTAGTATATAATAAACCCACCAGTTTTGTCACTGATTTACAAGGAATGTAAAGGAATCAAAACCAATAACTGTCTTTTCCCATTTCAAAAAATCCACCAATTCACCACTTCATTATTAACAAAATTAGGATTACAGAATACAAACCTACTAATAAAATTAGGAAGAAAAGGACTTTTGAGTTACTCTAGAAATGAACTCTACACATTCTGATTCGGTAGCCTTAGTGTGTGGAACAAAGTTTTCAGCTTTGTATCCTCCGTTGTACCGAGATTGTATCTACCACCTGCACCTTGATCAATCACTCTTGGCGGTTCAAGCTTGCTCCCATAAGACACTTGGAAGTTGCTATTGAATTTCATTCAAGTAGCTTTTTCCTCGTCCAAGACATGATTAATCTGCCTTTTTCATAGCTTCTGAAAATTGATCTTGGTACCTGCAGTCAAAAAATCACAATCTTTCAGAAACTGGCCACGGGATTCAACTCTGCTGTGTGGAAACGGCAAATGAATTGTAGAACTCCCGAATACCACCAAATAAGCATTTACTCATTGTAAAATGTGAAAGGGAACACCATGCGACATTCGAATAGGATATAACTATTGGCAGAAGTACATGAGAGAGAGAGTGAAACATTCCATTTTTCAAGCCAATTAACTGAATCCCAAGAGAGAAATCTTTATGTTTGATGCACTACATTATCATTTTCCATTTTAGCCACTATATTTTGTTACATTAACCAATCAACCATGAAATCTCCTAGATGACAAACTAGCAATAATGAACACAGTAAAGAATAACAATTATAGTTGCTAAGAAAGAAAGAACGAATGTTTATCCAAATGCTGAACATAAGAGCATATATAACCTAAATGGACGTATGAAAATTAGCTGCTAAGCAAAACTGCATCAATAACATAGGGTTGCACGTGTTCAAAACCTCAGTTGATTAGACAACATTAACAATCACCCGTTTTGAAATAAGGTCATTGCATATATATCATCCTGACTAATTTCAGATTCTAAATGGGACCTAATTTAATCTTATGATAGTGATGGAGTCTACAGATTTCATCCTCAGGCATATCAGGTTACAAAATGAGTGGCGCTCGTTGGGGAACAATAATGAGGTGATATATAAAATGCAGATGACAGTATAGAAAAATGAATCTTAACAACAACAGTTGCCTTCCATCGTTCTGAACTGATCACCCCCATGACAAATTGCAAGAATTGGGTGGCTTGAGCCCACATAATCTCAACCTTTAGAAAAATATGCAGCATGCCAGATATTTCAGGTAAACATTCCATGAATTAATAATGCCTTTAAAAAATCATCACTTAGAAAAAAACTGTAAGATAAAAGGGTGCCAATTTGGATTCCGAATGCAAGATATTTGATGCATATAACTACTTTGCAAAAATAGCAAAATGTAATCCAATTCAATAAGAACAGTATTATAAGAATCGCAAAGTTTTTTTTCATTATTAGAGTAATCAAGGAAGCATGCTACTCAAAAATTAATGCAGGGTGCTTGTATCTAATTAACCATCAAGGAATACACATTCATGCGTGTTAGCCCAACAGATGCAACAAGATCAACATCAAACCAAAGAACACCTTAGGGACCTTCAATTTCAGTACAGCCGCAACACGCTTCTTGCAATGGAATATGAGTTATTCGGTCTACTTCTCCCCGAACCTCCTCTTCGAGAGCTTCTCATAGGCGTCAAGTAGAACCGCAAGAGGCCATTATCAATATTGGTAGGTGAATACCTAGCACTCCGATTCCGATCCAAAACAAACTCATCTCTCCCCTTTCTACCATTCCCATTTGCCTCCACATTTGACTTCCTCACACTGCCAAATGATCCACCCACATTATAAGAATTCCTTGAGCTCACACTACTATTGCTTCTAAACACTCTCCTGTTCAAAAATCCTCTTGCATCCCCATTTCCTTCCCTCCTCAGGTCTTGCCACGACTCCGAAAAAGACCTCTCCACCCCATTTACTCTGCTACACTTTTCTTCATCCTCATCCTTGTTCCCTCCGGTGCGACGACGTATGAAACCCCAAATGTTCCACCGCCGGGACTTCTTCGACCCTTTCTGTTCAGCATTTCCAACAACTGAAGCATTATCTTTAAAACCCAACTCAAATGTCTCCGAACAATCATCTCTCATAGAATTCGAATTGGAATCCCTCAAATCTCTATCTCCACCCATTAACTTAGTCCCATGAAAATAATCAATAGTTGCAGGTGACACTTTGGAATTTGAAACACCTTTTAATTCATCAATCTCTGACACTATAGAGGCTGCAGTTTTCTTCATTGAACTAGACCTATCAAGACTCTTCCTTCTCCTCGAGTCTGAATAGTATTCCCTCGTCTGAGCTGACCCACCGGGGACTATGTCGTCGTCATAGACACAATTCAACGGCTCTTCCACCGGAATTTGGGTATCGGACCGTGAAACATGCACCACCGGAGCATCCTCCACCACCGAGACCATAGGCGGAAGCCGAGGAAATGTCCGGCTGGTCAAGTACCCGTCCCATGAAGCCCTAGGCTCGTCGAACGAGTATCGCGGGTCCTCGAACGAGATTCGTCCAGCATCAAGCGAGAACCGCGGATCCGTGTCGCAAGATCGCCGTCCGAACCCGTAGTCGGCGATCTCAGACTGGGTCTCGCGATACTGCCTCGAAATCGGCTTCTCCACCGGCAATGTAGCTGATTCACCGCCGGTGTTTCGCTTCTTCAGCTTCTGCTTTTGCCTCCATTTGAACCATTTCTTGCTGAACACAGAAGCCGCGGACCAAAAAGTTACCGCAATGGGTTTCTTAGGTTGCGAATCGAGATCTATGTGATCTTTCATCGGCTTAATCTCCTCTTGAACTTCCTCAACAATTTTTGCAGCTGTTCCTTTTATGACAGTTGGTACATTTGGTTCTTCAGAAACCCTAATTTCGTTATCGTCGTCGTGGTCATAGTCTTCGTGTTCGTCTTCTTCTTTAGACTCCAACACTGGACCGGCTACTGAAGAAGAGGCCAACCCAGGATTCCGAGTCTCTACTTCGGTTTTGTGCTCGCTGTCGAGGTTGAAGAGCGACCAGAGAGTGTTCCGAGCTCTAACGTCGCAGGACTTGCGTTGGGGCTCGAACACGCCGGAAATTTTCTCGTTTTTCGAAGCCGAAAAAGACTGCGTACGCCGGAGTTCCGGGAAGAAGGAGGGTTTTGTTTTGTTTCTGTTGTTGTGTTCGGTGGTAGTTGTGCCGGGGACTTTAAAGATGGCTTTGAGAGCCGCCGCTGCGGCGGAGGAGGTGGTGGTGGATGAGGGTTTGCGAGAGGAGGAGGCGGCGGCGGCGGAGGATTGGTCTAGGGTGGTGAGGCGCTCACAGAGGCAAGAGGGACAGAAGCCGGTGAACTGCTCTTCTGGGTGACGGTCGCAGGTGAAGGAGGACCGGTGGGGCTGCGGAGGCGGTGGCGGTGGTTGTTCGGTGGTGGGATTCATAACCGGTGGTGGTGGTCTGCAATCCCCCCTCTGTTCATGTTCCACAATTTGTGAGAGAGGTTTTGTGTGAGCTTTTGGTTTCCAACGGATAGTGAGAGAGAGTGTAGAGAGAGAACAGACGGAAGGAAGGGGAAAATAAAGAGAAAATGGAGGAAAATATTCTCTCTCTCTAAGCTGTACTTGTCCGTTGAATGCCTTATTCTCTCTCTACAGCCACTAACTTCAAAAAGACATTTGTATCCTTCTTTAAGATTCTTTAAGACATTTTTATCCTTCTGTAGAACAAAAAATAAAAACCATACTCACAAATGCCCATTGTCTTCAAATCCACTAGTTGTTTGGAAATACACCCAATTTCAAGCCATAAATTTCTTCCAATACTGCAAGAAAAAGATGAAAAAATATTTGAAAAGAGAGTTATAGAGTACGCAGGGAAACAAAATGAAATCTGCAATGCATTCTGATTTGATGTGATGCGCCTTGATTTGATTTGAAATATTTACAAGATAGTTTGTAGTTTAATGTGAACGATTGCAGACTCAAAATTTTTAAAATTCTTTTTTAAATTTGTTCCTTGTCAATTTTTGTTTGAAAGATGTTCGATACTCCACTTTGAATTAAATTATTATTAGTTGTTTGGAAATACAACCAATTTCGCCCAATAAATTCCTTCCAATATTACAAGAAAAAGATAGAAAAGTATTTGAAAAGAGAGTTATAGAGTACGGAGGGAAGCAAAATGAAATCTGTAATGCGTCCTGATTTGATGTGATGCGCCCCGATTTGATTTGAAATACTTACAAGATAATTTGTAATTTAATGTGAATGATTGCGGACATAATTTTTTTAAAGTTCTTTTTTAAATTTGTTCCTTGTCAATTTTTGTTTGAAAGGAGTTCAATACTCCACTTTGAATTAAATTATTATTAGTTGTTTGGAAATACGGCGCGCCAATTCAATACCGCAAGAAAAAGATGGAAAAATATTTGAAAAGAGAGTTATAGAGTACGGAAGGAAGCAAAATGAAATGTGTCCTGATTGGATTTGAAATACTTAAAAGATAGCCTGTAGTTCAATGTGAACGGTTGCAAGTTCAAATTTTTTAAAGTTCTTTTTTTTTTAATTTGTTCCTTGTCAATTTTTATTTGAAAGGTGTTCCATAATGCACTTTGAATTAATTTATTATTTGTGCTTCAATTCAGGAGAATTAATAATATGGGACATTTATGAATGCATTTAGAAAAGAAAAAAAAATTAGAGAGAATTTATCATTTTTCATACGTTAAGTAAATGAAATTTTATATTAATGAGAATAAAATGATTTGTTTAATTAATACCTAGTTGGAGCCATCTAATTGTTTGAAAAGAGACAAATAAAATTTCTAAGAACATAAAGAAATATTTTTATATAACAATAGAGGGATCAGTCTAATTTTGTCTTTTTTAAAGTTCACAGGGCTTTCATTGGTTTCCCAAGAGAAGTGCTCAAATCAAGTGATTTTTTTCTTTTCATATATTTTTTGTTAAATGTTTTTTTCGATTTTCAAAGATTCGTTGTCGAGAGAAAAAGCAAAAGTAAATCACGCCATCACTCTCTCTCTCTCTCTCTCTCTCTCTCTCTCTACAAACATATCTGTCCGATGTCTCTCTGCTTCTCTCTCTTACAGTCTCATTTCGCTTTCTTTCTTTTTCCTTGCTTTCCCTTTTCCTGTTGTGGTTTCTTTTTGTATTTGCGCTTTCTTTTTCCATCTCTTTTGTTATTTTCCATGAAAATGAGTTCCATTGTTGACGCATGTGGTGGAGTTTCTCCCACGGATTTCAAATTTTCATGTTTCACCTGCCCAAACACAAACACAACACAGAACGCACCAAACTATTTCATATTTTTCTTGTTATTTTTAATTAAAATTCTGAATTTAATTTTTTAAAAATTAAATGATGTTGGACAATTACGACATCCTTAATAACACACACTCTAATTACAAATCATACATATCATTACCTATTCATTTCATACATGACAAAAAAATAAAAAATAAAAAAAAATAAAAAAAAGATACAAAATTACTTCAAAATACATCCAGGTGACAAATCTTATCAAATAATAAGAGTTTGAAAGCAATTTTCAAAAAAATGAAATAAGAAATTTTTGTATTTTTTCTTTTTCTCCTTTTTAAAGGCTGACAAGTTACATTTGAGTTGCTGTTTAGATCAACCTTAGCTTGTACATTATTATCATCCTAAAAGAATGCATTAAACAACCTCATATTTATTTGTCATCATTAAATTTGAAATCCTAAATAGACCGTCGACACAAAACCGACCCTTATGCTCTAGACAACAAATGAACTTAATCAGCGTAGTTGTTTTGTATTTTATTCATTTTGTCTAACACTGTTCTATTCTAAATTGTAACAGTACTTAATTCCAACAGTTGATTTGTTTGATTGGTTTTGCAAATTAGTTTAATGGATTATTCTGATCTCATTTCTCTAAAAGACATAGATTCATACAATAATTCACATCTTTTATACAACAATTTTGCATTGTTTATACCATAATTGATATTCTTATCAACAACTACAGTACTTCATTAATGAATGATGTTGTACTTCATCATAATGGGAAGCGAACATGTCACAATGAATGCATCACACTGGACATAACAACACAAACTAAGTATAAGTTCGAACAAATATTAATTGCCAAGAAAAAATAGCAAAATATACTATGTTAAGCTAAAATTCATTCCCGCAATGTATGTGTGTTTGGGTAGGGATTTTAAATCATCTCGTATTATAGTATATTTGTCCCAATTATAATATATCTGTCCCACTTAGTGAAGAGAATATTATAATACAAGACCAAAACGTAACATTTTCGTAATGCATATTAATATCATTTTCGTAACGTGTATTAATATTTTTTCTTAATTACTAAAACAAATATATTGTGACTAAGAAAAAGATTTTAATCCGAAAGTGGATGGCTTCATCTCTTTCCTTTTGCTGGACTCCTCCGTCTTTGTACCAAACACACTATAATCTATATTACAATCACAACTGAGAAAAAGAAAATTATTCTTTTTTATTATTATTCTTGTTTAGATTAAAGCAAAATATTAAAAAAAGGGTGATACACAGTCGGATCTTCCAACACATCCAATTCATAAAATGTGAGTGTGTCCCAAATCGGACACAGAATTATTTTTCATAAATAAATTACCATGGACCACAAAAGATGTATAACTTGCATGTAGAAGCCCAAGTTTGATGACAATATTTACATTGCTTTTCTGATATTTCAAAAAAAAAAAAAAATGGAGTTCCGTACTGTATTATTAATTACCATATGAGTGTCCTCGTGTCTACTGTCTACTGTCTACGTATGGGATTAATTACATTTGTACGTTACATGCATATGTATATATAATTATTATACATGAATATATATAGAGTATATTGTATACCGAACACACCCACCTCAACCTTGTCAATTCCAGATTAGAATGATCCATAGCTGCAAATGTGAGTTGGGGTGGGCCATATACAAAAGCACTAAACACAAAGGGCCCACCAAACAGTGGAACTCGTGCATGAGAACCGAAGTATGGTGATCTTGATTCAAGGATTAAAGGTTTTTTTTGGGATAAAATTTAAGTTGCACATTGTCAATCGTAATATAAATTAAAAATTAATAAAATAATAAATAATATTTGATAGATTGGGTTTGGAGATTGCAAATTTAATGTTTTGATTGACATCTCATGTACCGTAAAACAAATCTTTAAAGAACAATATAATATATTTAATAAGTTATTCAATTAGGATTCAAATCCTATAAAATTGTTAGATCTCACGAGAAGGAACAAATTTTAGATTACTAAAGAATAAAAATATTACGTACATTTCTGTTTGCCAAACAGGGCTGACGGTGTACGAAAAACAGAATTTTAATTGATCCTGGAAATGTGGCACGAGTTAATGAGAATTGATTGATGGGCTTTGAGGAAGATGAGACCCGCCGCTGAGTCACGAGATAAGCCCACCGGCATCGAACTCCATTAGTCGGCCAATTGGGCCCACTTCTTTCGGTTGCAAAATCACGGGGGCCCATTAACTCACATTTATTCACATGGAGAAAGAGAGTAGTGTCTAGTATGAAGCCATATAGCATGTGTGTGTATATATATATAGTATATAGTATATAGTATAGTATATTAGTGTGTGTGTGTGTGTGTGTCGCTGTGCATGGAATGGGGCGTAAAGTGATCAAATGTCTTCAACCTTTACCTTTTTCTTTATTATATATACATGTAGTAGATTCAATGTTTCAATCTCTTTGTCTATCTGTTTTTCTCACTCTAGGGTTTGTCTTTCTATAATTTTGTCTGTTATTTGATCAAAAGTGAACGTAGCTAGAAATATAGTGGTATCTAAAGATTCGGATATAAAGTGACAATATATATAATTATATATGAATTCTCAATTCTTTAAAAAATTTGGCAATATGAAAATAAATATTATAAATATTATTGGGTCACATATTTTAATGTTGAAATATCCAATAGAATATAAGCAAGACTATTCAAATCAATCATTATCCATCATGTATCACAACAAAAACAAATCCGCTAGTTGCCACATCATGACATCAACATTTGGCACCATTGGTTGCTTCAGATAACAAAATCAGTTTATTCTTGGTTGATGTTTACATGTTACAACTGTCTCAAACATGGGGCAATCTGTGTGAATTCACACCAAAACTATTGGAGGGCTCTTATCTGAATCCTACTGTGTGTGACTGTGTTTTCGTTTCATTTTATTATATTCCTAGCACTAACAGAGCATCTTAAAAGGAGATCATTAGTACTGTACAAGCAAAGCATGCAAAGGGCAGAGATATAGATATATATATATATATATATATATATATACACACACACATATATATAGGACACATATTTAGGTTAGTGTGGCATTCTTTTATATGCTGTTCTTGTGTGAAGAACTGAAGATTCTTATGGTCAGAGAGATGGTAGAGTTGTCTCTAAAGCTTTATACACTGAGAATGAGCTTTCATTCCTTTAATTTTTTTGTCATCTTCTCAATGAAAAGAACCAAAGCTAAAACTCAAGACTTTTTAAGTATTTTAAACTTAACAACACTGTTCATCAGAATCTCAGCAATAAATAAATATAAAGGACTCTCATAAAATAAATATAGTAATCAATAAAATAGTGCAATGTCACCGCTAAGAATATGATATGAAATGTGATGCTTCTTTTTATGAAATTACTCTCTCCAAAACTAAAAACAGTTGTTCTTAATGGAAAAAAATAGTTCTCTTTAATAGTTGAACTTTAAAAATGAGATGGTAGGGCAAAGGATATTGTTCTCGTAGTACATTCAAATGGGATCAAATCTTCAAATTTAACAAAATATCATATCGAGATCATTGCTTGATGTAATAGTAAAATATAAGATTAATAGCGTGGAAAAACAAATCTGCAGTTTAGTCAACATGTATTGGGTATCTGGAATATAATAATGAATCATTAATGATGAATTATCATTTCTTATCAGGAAATAAAATGAAGAGTTTTTATTAACAGGTTACTACATAATAGATAATTCGGAGTATTAAACTCTAATAGATGAATGGGCACTCATGCAAATAGATCCGTCAAATTTGGCCGAAGAATAATGTCAAATAATGTTGTCTTATAATATGCTTTAGATCATTATTGTCCATAATTACACAAACAATAATAGTACATAAAGTTATTCTCGTTGTAGTCTGGTTCTAATTAAAAAAAACCTTTTCACTGTTTTTTTTGTGGACAAATAACAACAGAAAAGAAAATCAATATTCAAAATTGCAGATAAAGCAGTGTGGCCTAAGAGTGAACAAAAGGGAGGAATTGGAGGCCCACCATTTCAAAATAAAAATGAATGCAAAAGGACAATTTAATTGAGTCCTTTACCCCACACCCATACTAAATCACTGGCTAGTTTTGAAATAAAGAAGTGTATGCTTTGAATGATAGCCCACTATAAATAAAGCCTTCATTTTGGGTCCAATATGCCTACTCAAAACCATGTTTTACACATATATCTCTATTTTGATGGCCTTTTTTTTTTTTTTTTTTTTTCAATTATTGCATTTGAACAATCATTTTTAGCCTCTTGATCTGGTGATCCATGTTATGGACCCAAAGCAGAGTTTATTTACAGTTTATTGATTAAAATTTGATATTGGGCAATGAGAGGCTCCTCCTGTGGTCTGCCTAATAATATTCATAGGTTATATAAATATACATGTAGAATGAGGGAAACCCAAGAAAGAAAGAAAGTAGTGAGTGTTTGGCATGTTAGAAAAGCAAAGACAAAGGCTGATACCAGAAGCATACAAGAGAACAATTTCTAGGCATACCTTCATGGGGATTTTACAAGTATTCCAAAGAAATCTTTAGGATGGTTATTATAAATGTGTGGGGAAAAATTATTCACTGATGCCTTGAAATTTACAAAACCCCCCCCCCCCCCCCCCCCCCCCCCCCCCCCCCCCAAAAAAAAAAAAAAAAATGTAAAAGGGTTTTCTTCCCTAGAATTTTATATTGCAGCTGCATGAAAATCATCAGTATAATTGGCTTTCAATGGTGAGGGATGGGAAAGGCAAAGATAGTCATTGCTTTTGCTTCCCTTTTGCTTTTTTATGCTAAAGTGGAGACACAGTTGAGTTATGATTGGAAAGGATGAATATGAAAGAAAAGAGAGTGTTTACACTGGAAAGACCCAATTTTTCTTTCTTTCTTTCTTTCTTTCTTTCTTTTTATTTATTTATTTATTTTTGTTCTTTCTGGGAAATTTCTTTTAGAGATGGAGCCAGTACTGTTGAATTCAGTGATATAAATCACTTCCCTACATTGATATATGTAACCTAGGGTCATCAATGGGCCCAACAATGAATTTTCCGGGCTGATTTTTTTATTTACATCTTGAGCCTGAAGTAGTTCTGAACTTGGGCTGTCCGGTCCAGATTAAAGGAATGGGCCTTGTGTCTATAAAGTAAAGAAAGAGATCATGGCCATAGTTATTAGGAAATCTTGTAGCAAAGGAAGCATTTTCCAATTCTCAGAATCCCGCCTTCAAGAATTCACTGCATGGAATTGAAATCATAGGAATATTAGTCTAGTGTTTTTAACTAATATGGTCTTCATTTCAATTCCCAAGCACATATTCAATGCTGCCAAACGCAGCCCAAAGCGATTTTTTTTTTTTTTTTTTTCACGTGTAATTTTTCATTACAGAATGGGAATTCACAACTCTTGAAGGGTAGCAACATTTTTTCATGATAGACCTGTACAAAGATTGTTTAATATGTCAGACAGAGGAGCAATTTTTCTTCAGTATCTCAACAACCCTTTGTGATATAGTCTCAGCAAAAGTTCCTAAAAGAGGTTCAAAACTTGAATTATCCACTCTAGTTTTTCCACCCGAACTGATGCTTGTAGATTGGGCCAATCTGGCAACTGCATGAACTTTCTTTGCTATTGTAGGAAGCATTTCAGTGGCTTCCTCATGTAGCTGACCCCCTGGCCCTCTTAAAATCTCTTGTCTAGAAGCCATGCTTCCTAATTCAGAAAATAACAGGAGTGCACTGTCAGCTGCAGCATCCAAATTGAGTAATGCCTCTCTGCACGCACTGATTATTTGTTGCTTTTCGATTTCCTCAGCATTGCATTCCTCTTGTTCTCTAGCTTTTATCACTTCCTCGTTCACTGAAATGTCCTTGACAGGGCATTCATTTGAATCACTTCTTGAGATATTGTGATTCGAGCACAGCAAGTCTTGCGTTGAGAGCTTGAGAACCTGTAATGGCCACAGGTTAGCAGCTACAATTGCGCATGGTGATCTTGTACTTGTCATTTTATAAGTAAATTAACAAAGGTTCTTCTAAAAAGAACACTTGTAAATGTTAAAATAATGAAACTCCGGCTGCTAAATATGCCGAGAGCAACCATTTTGAGGCAAAATAATGCCAAAGGCTTCTGTACCTCCAATACCCTTGATAGGGCTAACAAACACTGGACAATGAACTTAAAAGTATTTTGAGATGTTTCTAAGGAAAACAATTCTAGGCTACTTAATCCTTACTGAAGATAGATATGTAAGTTTCATATTCCATAATAAAATAAAGATCCTCAACTGAAAGAACTAGTATTAGATGATGACCAACCCCATAAAATCTTTGTTTACGACCAATTATTTTAATCTGTTTCATTATATTTTTGTTTCCCAGAATGTTTGTCTAACATATAGGTAACAAAACTAAAGCCCTGTCAAATCTGTTTTAGATTAATAGATATACCTGTGTCCGAGTATCCATCCTTCGTGATTCTTCTGGCATGCGCATTGCTGGATCCTTGGATGTACCGTGAGGAGCAGCTCCTTCGCCCAAATTTATAGTTTCACCACCAAAATCTCTATTTGGTGTGTCGAAGTGTTCTTTTTGGCCTCTAAGGTCTCGTCGCATGCGTGCAGAATGGCATCTCCGTGCTGATGATGTCCTTCCATTCTAAAAACAGTAAATATAGATAGCTAACCTTAGATTGTTAGATAGTGACTACATTGATAAACCCTTCATGAAGATCAGAATTGTAATCCATCTACAACTCCTAGCAACCTGAACCGTTGGGGGTAGCAGTGCAAAAAGAATATGCAAATGACCTCAGTAGCCAACGCTACTAGAGCAAACATGCTAACTCTAGTTCTTGGATTGCTTGTATTATCCCTCTGGCTAAAATTAAAAGGAAAACAAGACTCCTGTTTTCCCATCTTTGCAACATAGGTAAAAATGTGATGCTAGGACTTGAGATGGAAAGCATGGTGAAATAATATTTAAATTTTGATAAGACAAGAAAATTATGCGTAAATTGTCAGCTAAACCAGAACCTAAGAAATATTTGACCATTTATTTTGAAAATTAAGTAAACCACTGCAATTGAGAAGTTGTGTTTCCATGTTCAACATTAGAATAGGAGATGAAACAAAATCCCTCTTTAAATAAACAAAATCAGTTTAGACTTGTTAGATCTCATGATAAAAGGCAAACACAAGTGCACTATACAGAATAGAGCAGCAGAATCGGATGCATCCTGTAATCCTATATAGTCATATAATTTTTTTTTTTTTGATAAATTATATAGTCATATAATTTTGTACCATATTAGAGTACTACTAACCTTCAATCCCGCTGATAAATTGTGTAAGTTAAGGTTGAACATGTCATCTTCTGAAGACTTCATGTGGGAGGCATAGGCATCCACCATTGGTTGCAGTCCGCTTTCAGTTGTGCCTGAGTTCATCTGTTCTGTAACCTCACGAACAACTACCTCACGGCATGCACTTGCATTAGTAATCCCATATTGATTCGTTTTATTGCACTTAAAGCCAGGAGTGTTCAATCTGGTTTGTTCAACAAAAGTGACACCCAGACTCTTGCCATTATTACCAACGAATCCAAAGGTGGTCTCTAGAGAAGGATTATTCACATTTGTATTACTTGTCTCCACAGCAGGGTCTTGCACTGCATTAAACCATCACTTTGTTAGATATATGACTAATTATTAAAGGCCTGAAATCTCCATTGTGATCACTATCTCAATGAGCAGGATATTGGATTCTTTAGTAGGCTTCAGTTGTTGGCATTCAAAGTAAGACATTTTGAGATTGTAAAAGGTGATTAGTAAAAATCTGGCTGGAGGTGGATAAAGTGCACTAAACTACGAAAAGGAGAGTCGAAGAACCAAGCATCAGATTTAGAGTCCCTTAGGCATCACTCATACAATTAGAATTACATCATAAAACGCCAAAAGATCTTCAAAAGTTCAGAAAACTATCTAACTTTGACAGAGTACCTAGATATCTATAGGCAGGTCAACTTTTTCTATAAGGTTTTCTATTTCAAAATTAGAAACCAAAAACTGACTTGTATGTCTGCAGTACGAAAAAGATCCAATAATATAACTTAACCCAATATATTATCCATAGACCCCTACTACAACCATGTCCAGAAAATTTAGAAATCAACAAAATACGACTCAACTTCTAAAACATAAGAAAACGTTAAATAAAATTAAACCAGCAAGAAACTAACTTTAAGAAGCAAAACATAAGACTTGTCTGAAAATAAAAATCGATTCCAAGAGGTCCCTAGTGAGCCCCAACTTGAAATCGGGCTAAATTTTGATGTTCATATATATATATATATATATATATATATATGTATATATAAATTTGCTTTTCCTTGAACTTCTATAGATTGGTCGTCTTTATAAGAATATAAGAGCTACAACTGTACAATTAGCTAAACTTATGCTGCAGCATTGGCAACAAAAGGGTAGAAAATAATAGATCATGTGAAAACACCTATCATGGATGGACGTATTTAACAATTTGATTTGTATATTTCCCTTTTTGTCCCCACAAATCATTAGAAGAATCCAATTCAAATAAAAAAAATTGGTGAATTGTACAACTACTAAAGCCTTCCATATGCCTCAATCTTGAGATGGCTATATTGTGATATATATAGACTATTAAAAGTAACTTTTATCTAGACCAGCCAGGTCATCCCATAGTTGTTACATGCACGCCTATGCTCCAAAAGAGCCCCAGACTCGTCAAGACCACCTTAACCTACTACAGGCCATGCTGTTTCAGTCAGACCCACATAAAGCCCTCAAGCTGGCGCTTTTTAGTAGGCTTCAGGCTAAAAAAACACGCCTTTATTTTTTAATCATTTATTCATTTCGTGTTCTTTATCACATCATAATCATATTTTATGCAATCATATTGTTCAACCTCGTGAAATCTTTGACAGAATTCATAAATTTATGGTTGACTAAATGAATGTACAATTGAATCAATTCAAGATGTGCAACACAACTGAAAAATCCTCTGAAATTGGAATTTTTTATATATCAACTAAGAGGATCAGCCAAACAGGTAAATTTATGTGGATAAATACTTTCATATGCACATGCATTAACCAAACTAAATGTAAATTACAAATGCGAAACAATAAAAAACTATAACCAATTAATCATGTAAACTTTAAACATATATAATCATAAATTCATTGCTTATGTATGAGTAGAGTAACAAGATATTGTGGACATACCACAAAATATCACAACATATTGATGGATGCATCACACATAGATATACTGCAGAAATTTAATAAAGTTCTTATTATACTGATAAGAATTCCTGATATGTTGCGATATAACTCAAATATCATACATCTCATATTTTAGGTATATGTCAACACATACAAGACTCTTAATAATAATAAAGATTTTAAATTCATAACTTATACAAAATATAATTTTTTTGTGAAAACAACTTCATTTCATGCTGAAAAAATGAATTATTTGTTACTTACTAATTAATTATTTTTAACAAAAAATATATATTTATAATTAGAGTTTAAAAAATATCAGTAGCTATAAAAATTATTATCGATATCAATTATGAGTTATAAAGAAGGAAGTTGGGAGATTTGTTCGCATAGATTAGATATAATGGTATTGTAAGAGGTGTGCATGTGTATCTTGTTTTTTGCTGATCATATACCTGACGGAAGATTTTGGCTTAGTAAAAAATGAGAAACTAAGAACTTAAAACTCGATCAATTAATAGTTTTGTTGTGAAAAGGCTTTGTTTGTTGTGTCAATTAATAGTCAAATAATAGTTTTAAGGGCTTCCAAAACTATAAACTGTTTGAGAGGGTCAACCATATATTCCTTCAAGAGCCAGATATGACCAAGAATAATGATCATATTATGACTTATGAACCATATGGATATGAGTAGTACCTATATCTCTGTATGGTAAATGGTAGGTCATTAGCAGGTTTGACTACCATCAGTTAACACCACACGAAATTGAAACTTTATTATGGACTTGTGAACCATTGGACAAGATTTCATGAGCTTCCCATGATAGAAGTAAAAAACTATAAATGACTTGCCGATGGGACTTCAAGTACACTATGGTCCAGGAGAAAAAAAAATTATAGTAATAATTTCGACTTTCACTCACATAGAAAACGCCATGGTTATTGATTGTAGGGTTGGTTATCTACTTGTCGTATATGATTGGTATAGTTCTGGATTCTAAATTTATATTGTACGAAATGTATATTCATATTTGATCCTTATTTGATGTTGATATAATTAATCATTTTTTTTTTTCCTTTCTTTCTTTTCTTTACCAGTCACAAAACCTTGACCTGTGGCTTGAGAGTTTTACCGAAAGAATGAACAAGAAATTTTATTTTCTGTCCCATAATCCATCATCATCTAGAGGAACAGCATGCTGCCACATTCATACCAGGGGAAAAAACAGATCCGTAAAATTTTGTGATATTAAAGTGATTGGTTTTCCTCATATTCTTAGTAGCATGCATTTTTCTGACACACCACAAACTCATTAAATATACATTTTATTTGCAATACTTTCACTCAAATTGATGCATTGGAATCTCTATTAACACTCTTAGAACTTCATTAAAAAAATTCATGATTTGATACTAATATCTATCATTATTTTGAAAAAGAGGTTCAATATTAATATGTGATTGCAATATTATCCACTGTCATATCTTTATTTTCATGCTTGCCATATATCTTTTTATCCATATTTTATTTCTTGTTCTTGACTTAGTTTGAGTGTTCCTCTTTCTATATGGTGTTCATGCAATCTTAATTAATTGATAGGTCAAATTTAACTTATATAAGGTTCTTCAAAACATTTTGGAAGTTTAACCAACTATAAGTCAGCATTATTCTTGCACCAGAAAGCAAACCCCACAAAAGATCAGGCCATGTGGCTAGAGTTTGGCTATCAAACTATTACATTATAAATTTTTACCCTAAAACATCCATGCATACAGAAGTTGCCAGAAAACAATTTGTAGTATTGGTCATTTATCTTTCCTTCTATCATTGAAAAATTAGTTCGGCATAACACAAAAAACTATGAACATTGATTTTAGAAAACACGTTATGTCATTCTTCATGCAATCGTTAGAGTATAAGACAACTCAACAGAAACATTATGTGAAAATAAGAGCTTGGCCTTACACAAATTCGGAAAAGACACCGGCACCTTTCTGTCCGTCATATCCCAAACCTCTGGGGAATTCAGTAAATCCAAACAAACTGTATGAATGGTGAGCCAGCGCTTGTCCATTGTGAAACTGCTGAAGCACAAATGTGAAGCTATAAGCCTAGAAACATGTATTGAACCTCCATTTCACATGACAAAAATCATCTCCAAAACCATTAAACGCTCACCAAAAGTTATTTTGAGGCATTACAGAACCTTGGCTGTCATCAATGCCAGATGAACTACTAGATATGCCACTAAAAAGTAGTTTGCTGCCTTCCAAATCATGTTTGGATGGAGTTTGAACTTCAGGGGACAAAGAAGCATATCCCCCATCATTACCACCCAAAGGTGTGAGAACTTCCGGTGCAACTTTCTGATATCAATGAGGGTAAGCATGAAGGAGCAGATGAATAATGAGAACCACAGATTTATAATGTATGCAAATATAGTTCACGAACTGGGTAGGGTATCAAATCTAATGGGAATGATCAACTTTTCTTAATCAAACAAAATTAATTGTTTACTTTCAGTACCTGCAATGTAGTATTCTTAGAGTCGGTAAGGATTATTTCAGGGCTAGTTACTTTGGCTTGTGCCCACTTTGGAAGTCTGGAAATGCTAAATTTAAATGATGAGGGCTCCCAAGGACTTCCTTCTTGAAAAATAAATTTTTGGTCAACTTGGTTGGACTTTTCATGAAACTTGATTGAACTTAATGCTACCGATTGGGTCTTGCATGTTGGTGTCAAAGGACCAGAACGTTCCTTTATTCTCTGTAGCATCCTTGAAGACAAAGCAACGGGCATTTTCCAAATAAAAATACAGCCATCACCACCCACCTGAAAACATCAATAAATTTGACAATAAATAAAATATATGAAATAGGAAATTCTATGAACCAAATAATGGTGTTATAATAAAATTTGATGCGCATCAAGAAGCAGCGTGATCTTTTTAATTCAAAGATTATGGCTTTTTATTTTCTTTTTTTATAGTCGGTGTGTTCATATATAATTGCATAAAACTTGTTAGCACACCTTGAACTTTAAAAACTTTGGAGCACGCCAAGACTTCATGGAATAGTTTGTTAGTCCAAGTTTAGTTTCCTATCTTGATTGAAGTCCTAAGATCAAACGGCAACAAGGACTACTTTCAATACTCCAATGAGTTATTTGATTACCATTTCTAGGGATGAAAATGGAAAATTTTCAGTTGTGCTTGGTTAATACAACAATATTTACAAAATAAAAAATATACAGCTCATTACAACTTAAGAAACAATTTCGAATTTTAAATGATTTGAATTTTCAACCAGAGGGGCCTGACTTTTCACTTATCAGTAGTCACTGAATGATCTCGGCAAAGGGTACTTTTTTAATTAAATTGAATTGACAAATTTAGCATTTTTTTTTCTTAAACAATCAATAAAGAAAAGCGAAAAAGCAGCATTTGAAGTAACTAGGTCATTGTATGATCCTCACAGATGCAACAAATTACATTCTTATGATAGTGAGAAGAGCAAGCATACTACACACTAAATGCAAGACAGTCTAAAAGATAAATATTATGTTCAACGGTCTAAATACGGCTTTAAGAAAAATATAGAAACTTAGGAGAATGATTCATAGAAGGCAGGAAATAGTTTTTGGTCTACAAAATCAATACTATACCCTAAATATAAGAATTTAAGTGACCCAGGATGTTTAGAATAGGACGATATCCCCGCTTTACCTAATCAAATATAGATGAAATACATGTAAATGGCACATGTAACCAACAAATAAAAGCATGACAATAACTCACAGAAACTATGTGCTTGCAGTCAGGTAAGAAAATGACACCATTTATAACTTCACCATGCCCTACTGCTCGAGCAACCATCTCCCCAGTAAAAAAGTCATACATGCAGATAGATCTGTTTGAGTAAGAGCAAACCAGATAACTGCAACTTGGGTCCAAGGTTACCTGTCAAAATGAGTTAGTTGCAACATAAGATCATTGAGATGAAGATGATACTATGACTACTGACCACATCTAATGACTCACCTTTACTGGGTCTCCAGAATCTCCATCCAGCTTGAATGATCTAATAAGTTTTCCAGCAGCAAGCTTGAATATGTTAATCTTCTTATCCTATGTGCAGAACTTATTCATGAATCCCACAGTATTGGCCATTATCCAAGATTTTACTGGAAAAAGTTATCTATCCTTATTCAAAGGTCAGTTAACTGGGATTTAGTTTATAAGGTGCACACTCAAAGGATTGTTTGCACAAAAACCAGTCATGGAAGCCATTAAAGTTTACCATTTGCATTGTGTTGTACTACGCAAGTAAAATTTTCACATGCCAATTTACCTGCCCCACTGTGATAGCAACCTCTACAAGTGGATCTACGGCCATGTCGTATACGGTTCCACTAGATGCTATCTGATGATGACAACGAGAAATCTTGCAATTATTATCTCTTATAGCGACGTCATGGTACACCAAGGACCTAGAGGAAGAAACAAATATATTAACTTGATAGCTTGAGATATAGGAGTTGATGCCACTTCGAAACGAGACAATAAAAACTTGAAACCAAGTTTCTCATGAATTCCAACAAATTTTACCAGACACAAATTATTCGGGTACACCAGACCTTGAATGGGAATGAAGTAAGCCACATACTCCAATATGTGATACATTGGGGATAGACTTAGACACGGTTGAAAAATTATGAGGTAGTTCTAACTGTTGGAATGTATTTTTTTAAACTCAAGTCTAAAAATTATAAACTAGTATTATTACTTGCAAAAACTGTCATTAACTAAAGAAATTTGTTATATGAACCCCAAGGGGTTGGTTTAAGTAGGTAAGTCACTTGGCCCTGGTGCCTCATGAAGCATCAAGTCGAAGGTTCGATTCCTCTCGGGTGCAAACAATTCCTTGGAGGGCGGTTGTGTAAGTATCAACTAGGGAAAAAAAAATGTTACATTGAAATTAATCATATTAAGGCATTGAACTAAGTGTATCCTACAAACAAGAGCTCATGGTGTCAAATGACCATTTCTTTTATTCTTCACCAGAAAATCTCTCTATTTTATTAGATTTCAATTTATTCTTGATAGAGCTTTATGAAAAAGGAAACTAAGGGAAGATATGAAAGGAACTTTTATAAATCGGTATATTAGCATTTTTTTAATGGAGTTCCACGTTTTGAAGCACACCTACAAATACATGGTTCCCCTATGTATTGGCATTTTATGGTATCTATGATTTCAACAAATCATCAGATACATGTAAGACAACAGAACAATTTCAATTGCTATGAATAACAGGATAGACTCCCTCCAAATACAGTGTGAATCAAATTTTGTTCTCCAAATACTCCTTGATAACCATCTTGCTTTATCAGAACCCACCTATCAGCACTGCAACTGAGAATCTTACAGTCATTGCATATTAGCTTTACTGAAGTCACAGCAGCTGAATGATCATCAACACATCCAATGAGATCAAAATTCCTGATGTTAAAGAAGACAACTTAATATTGATGAATAAAACAAACATCCAACAAGCTAGACGAGCCCAAAAGGTTATGAATCAAACCTTTTGACATCATAAAGGCGGATTACTCGATCCCGTCCGCCTGAAGCAAGGAAGTAATTGGCTTCCAAAACTTTTTCAGAAGAAGCATCCTTCTTCCTAGGCAAGCTAAAGCTCAATGATAGGATTTCAGCATCATGAGCATTCTACCAAAATAACCAATAATTACTCATTACAGGATGCCATAAATTACAAAGCATACTTAACAGGAAAACAAATGTGAACATATTGCTCTGTTTTGGCAAGCACATATTCAAAATTAAAAGTGGCTGCATGGATTACCTTAAAGCATATGTAATCAGATGTATGTAGGTTATAGATATGGAGGTTTCCCCGGCAATCACCAACAGCCAGTTGCTTTCCATCTGGACTAACTGCCATAGATCGAAATCCCTGAGTGCTAATTCCTGACTCCACAGAATCAAGTTCAAAAATTCCAGCACTTACTGCAGCAAGGAACAGAATCATAAAGAGATAATCGATAAGTTAAGAAATGAAACATTCAGATAGATTCTGAAGCAATTACATTTTTTTTAGTTAGATCTTTAGGTATGTTCGAATGAAAGCAGTGTGAACATTGGAATTACCTAAACATGCCATGCCAACTGCCTCAGTTTTCATAAAATTGGGGTCCATGGCAAGAGTCAAGCCATCCTTTGATGATGAAACAGGTTGCAAAGCAAAATCCCATAACCTAATAGTATCATCTGATGAGCATGTTGCAAAAGAAACTCCACCAGAACAACCTCTAGCAACACATGCAATAGACGGATCATGCATATTTTCACACAAAATATTCTTAATATCCCATATGCATGCACCATGTGAAACAAGGACGCAACGTCTTGTAGCCTGGATAAATATAAAAACATTTTACTGCATGGAATTGTGATCAACATAATAACGCCACTAAAGTAACTGGGACTAGGACTTCCAGAATCAGAAGACCAGAAAAAATTATATATGGATAAGGAAATCAAGGTTGATCTGTCAAATAGATGATGGAAAATGGATACCAAATTTTAAGCAGTCACCTTGTACAAATCATGAATCTCCCATATGTAGACACTACGGTCTCCATAAACAACAACTGCACGCACACACACATACAAAAAAATTAATAATAATAAGAGAAGAAAATGAAAATGAAAAAAAAAAGATTAGTCCAAGGTGCAAATAAGGCTGGAATCCCATCATAATGACATCAAATACTTGCCAAGATTTTCTGAGGTTGAGAATTGACAAGCAATTGCATCAGGAAAAGTAGGCAAAGATTGAGAACCCTTTTCTCTGAATTTGGTATGGCAGTCCATATCATTCACGTTGTTGCAATTTTTGGCCTCAGTATATTGTAAGCTTCCGGCATACTTGAGAGACTCGATGGTGAAGAGTTTTACGACTCCGCCGTTGCATGCACAAGCAACCAACTTGTTGGATGTAGATAGCGCAAAAGATTTCTCAACCTGTAGATTAATTGTGAAAACAATTATAAGGTGATATTGATTAAAAAAATAAAAAATATAAAAATAAAGATAATAATAAATATACTTAAATAGGTGTGCAGTATATCAGTCTCTGTTCAGTTCAAAGAGCTACAAGAAGCTTATAGAAAATTTGCACAAGGATGGATCAGTGGTTGACATTATTATCCTGTTAGATGCTATAGTACTATCGACTATCATACTTGTATCACCATCAGCACCCAATGTTGCACATAAACAAAAAATATCAACCCAAAAGCTGCTATTTTGAGAACATTAGGATGCGCAAAACCAAAATCCCAAATCAATTGTCAAAACCACAGGAGTAGTAACATCATAGGAAGTAGAGAGGGAGTTTCCATCCACCTATTCTGCTAAAAGTCGCATAATGTTGGTATAACTAGTAGAAACTCTAATTAATGTTCCTGCTGCTAATCTTTCTACCTTAATCATAGGGTGACACGTCTCTCTCTCTCCAAAAATAATAAAAAAAAATAATACGAAAAAAAAAGAAAAGAAAAGAAAAAAGATGGAAACTCCTATAATTTAATAATCTAGCCCCTTGTAACTTTTCTCAATGAATGATTAAACACTCCTAAACACAGTGATGTGCCAATTGGAATTGGTATTAAGACAAACTTTGCCTATAACACCCACTGAAAATCCTTGCTGCTGCTGCTACTATTACACTAATGGGCTAAAGTTCCTTTGTTTAAACTGAATCACCTCGTCATTGTTAGCTATACCAAGTTCATGTGAACAGTCTATTCATGAGGACCACATGTGAAGGAAGTTGAAATAAATAAGGTACACCCTTATAGCCAACTACTCAAAATGATTAAGCTCTAAAGAAGGGTGTAAGATTTTAGCTTGTTTTTTTTTATTTCAATACCCTCCCTCGCATGCGGCCCCCTCATCAGTGGGCCATTCACATTAATATGTTGTTATTTTTTTTTTCTAGTTGGTACTCACACACACGTCTCTTATGAGACTTGAACCCCTGACCTCCCTTTGGGAAGTAAGAGGCTGATACCGCTAGGCCACTGGCCCGTTGGTCATTAATATGTTGTATGTATTCATGGGAGGTGTGGTAGATTAAAACTTAGGACCTTTTAGCTCTAAAAGAATTTTAACAACCTTCTATTTTATTAGCTTAAGTTGATATAAAAGAATGTAACTTGTCATTAATTTTCAAGATAATTTAATAAACCACAACGTGTACCTTTAAATCAACTGATTTTTTTATGGACAACCGAGAATGCAGAACGCATAGAAGACCTGTAGTACAAAGAAAAAAGATAACTTGAAAATCAGACACAATATCTCAAATACATCAAATGTATGAGAATGAATCCATAGTTAACCCACCTGCATCGGTCAGTGCATAAATTGGCAAAAAATCACCAGTTTGATCACAATAATCTAGATGACTATCACTCAATATGGAAGATGTGACAGCTACAAATGAGTATCCTTTCTGATGACCAAGATTAATAGACTTCCCTTGCATTGTCAGTGACCTAGCCCTAGCATTTGTGGGGTGTCTTGTGGATGATCCAAATGTCCAAACCTTCAAGTGCTTTTTTCCAGCAGTTACAATTAATTTTGAATCTGATGAAAAACTAACTGATGCAACTGGAGAACAAGATGAACATGCTTTAACCTTTGCAACTAACATCCCACTTCGCCAGTCCCAAAGGCAAATGTACGCATCAAGAGGAAATCCGACAGATACTAGTTGTTTCCCTAGAAAATTAAAATGATATGAATAAGTTGATGCCCCGGATTGATGAATAACAAAGAAAATGTTAACAAAATGTTTATTCATTTTAACATGTCTTGATACACCAAGAAGTAGACAAAATTATGAAAAAGGAAGTGCAAAAAATCCTATTGGGTTGTTCTAACTAACCATCAGGTGAGAAAGCAATGCATGCCACACCATATTGATGGCCTTTCAGTTCAGATACGAAAGCCAAAGTTGCAGAGTCCCATATTAACACTGCAGGTCGATGCCCTGACTGCAACACCAGGTTAGATAGATATTGGTACAGGAACAGATAAGAATAAGTCAATCATTATGTCCACAGTCCATCAAATACATCAATATATCTAAAAAGGAGTTTTCTTCTACTGATGATTACTTTGGTCCACCTATTTTTATTCAAATACTTTCCCTAAAACAAACAAACAAAAAAGTATTTCAAGGTTGGCTACACAAAACTTCCTTGTCAGTTTAATACTCCACTGAGAGAATGGGAAACAAAATACAAGTAGGAAACAAAAAACCCACGGAACAGAAATAGGAAGGGTGAGAACTGCCATTCAGCTTATCTAATGAGGTAGATAGTGTGCAATAGCTAATAAGTTGCCCAAATGGTAGCCCAAATGGTAATGCGTCAGACCAACAACATGAACAATCATGAAGTCACTATGGTAATTGGGCAAGATGTTGGGGGATTGAAAATGACGCCTCTAGCTTAAATTATTAAATTAACCAAAAGCTGAGCTCAGTTGCAATAAGAAAGTAAACACACTTATGAACTCCTTTATACCATTAACATGTGCAAGAGAATAATGATCATGCTTAACAAATATGATCCATACATTGACCTGGCCCAATGACATGTACAAGGAGAATCATGATCATGCATAATAGATATTATTCATACATCGACCTGATCCAATGTGTCTTAAGTCATTTGAACAAGTTTTTAAGCAAACCAAAGGAACATGTAGTTTGGATCGTCACATAACCTAGTCAACTAAATTAATATGGGAATTGTAGAAATCCGTGAATACCAAATATACTAGGTGCCTAACACTGAGGAATCCAGCTTCAACCATCCTGTCATCCACTTGAGACTCATGAAGAAACAAAAAACAATGATCTAATAAAGAAAGTTATAAAATTCGACAACAGCAACAGTAATAGTAAGTTCAGAGCTCTCGAGAAACAAATTCAAGTTTTAATTAAAACCCCAATTTGCAGTTTCTTTCCACCGTTCATGTTGGCCTGAGAAACGCAGTTTCAACTCTTGAATCGGTGAGCTTCAAATCATTCAAGTATAAATATTTCTCTTAAAAAAAAACGAAAAAACAAAAAAAAACAACAACAACAACATATACTAGTAATATTTGTGCCACTGCTAAAATGAATCCTTCGTACCTCTCCAGCTGCGACAAAATTCCCATCCCGTGAGATGGCAACACAGCTCAAAGGTTTCGGCATTCGATTAGAAACCATGAGATGCGACTGAATGCCTGAATCAACATTGTAAATCACCACAACACACCCTGCAATATAAACACAAACACTCTTCGAATTCAAAATGCTTGCATCCAACCCATTGGCATTCTTTGTCGTCAAGCCAATTACTTTTTCCAATGTGAGCTGCAAATTCAAACGGAAACCTGCATCAAGTAACAGTCAAAAGAACAATAACATAATCTGATTGCCAATTGAAAATATGTAAACGAGAATGACAATAGTGTTTATTTGGTACCTCCAATAATAATAATATAATAAATAAACACAGACACTCCAGTTAAGTAAGCATCGTACAAATATTATGCCGTTCGAATTCAGACTAACATTTTCATTTCTGGTCCTTCGTTTTTCTTTCTTTCTTTTTTCTAGTAATCAAACAGAGTATCAACGATAATTAGGGTTTCCAATTGTGTGAGACTATAGGAAGAAGTAAGAATGTACCTTGGAAGGAGCATCTGTTTTCTTGAGTCTGCGAGGTTTCATCTTTTGATTGCTTGAAATCCTCAAACAGAGGCACACGGATTCTTGAATGGTTTCGATATAGTTCGCACTCCTTATACACACTATTAACTATATCTATATTTACACACATATACATTATAGAGAGAGAGAGTGGGAGAGCGGGAAGCCAGTGCAAATGAAAGCAGCATCTTTGGTACGTTACGTTTATGAGGAAGGGCTTTTAATTGAATTGGATAAAACATCACGGTAAGAAAGGGATTTTACTGTATCATCCAGTCACAAGTCTTTGGAAAAAAGAAAGAAAAATATCAAAATGACAACACTGGCTTAGTTGGTCGGTTTTTTTTTTTTTTTTTTGTCTTTTTTCTTTAACCTGGCAATAAGAAACAACCATACCGCATCTACAAACCACAACCAAAGATTAAAACCTTACGTATAGGGCTGCAAATGAACCGAGCCGCTCATGAACAGCTCAGGCTTAGCTCGTTAAAAGTTTGGCTCGGGCTCGTTCATTTAATAAACGAGCCGAACTCGAGCTCAATTTCTAGGCTCGTTTAGTAAACGAGCCGAGCTTGAACATCATTGAACTCAGCTTGTTAGGCTCGTGAACAAACTCGTTAAGGCCCAATTATATTTATCAATTTATACTAAAAAAGTGTAGCCCAAATCAATATAAGTTTGGCCCAACTCCCATCAATTCATTAATAAGGCCCAAAAATTATATAATTCATCAGCCCAACATCTAAATCAGATTTAATCTTAGCCACTGGACTTCAACATCTGTTGGTTCTGTTAAGAGATAAAATACACCTATAAGTAGATATCTCCAGAGGCAGGTCTTAAGGTTTAGCAGTACAACATATGTGTAGATCGAGTAGATTTTGCGTAAAGAGATGACAAAACATTGTAAGTTTTGATTTTATCTTGAAAATATGTTATGTACTTTTTCTTTTTCTTTCTAACTGGAGATGGAGTTTTCATAGAAGAAATCATGTTGATTTCTTGAATCGGTAGTAACGATATATGTAAACGAGCCAAGCTGAGCCGAGCCCAAGCTTGTTAAATTTTTGCCGAGCCCGAGCTCAAGCTTGGCTAGGCGAAGCTCGCCCGAGCCCGAGCAAAGCCCAAGCACCTCTATGAAGTTGACGAGTCAAGCCCGAGCAAACCAAAGCTTGGCTCGACTCAATTCATTTACAGCCCTACCTACGCAAAAGCGTAGGACAAACCCCAAACAAAACCACCATAATATGAGATACGAGTACAAAGACCCAGCACCCATAAAAGCATTCAATGGCCAACCCAAATGAAGACCCATAGTCAATTGGTCCTTTTTAATTGCAGGCCACAGAAATGGGCTTAAAGCTAGACCAAGCTGAGCATCAACCCCAGTGAAGTTACCCACCATTACAATCAGGTACTTGACATTATAGTGATCTATAATTTGTGAGCCAACCGTTTTAGAAAAAATCGTCCTTGCATTTTCCCCATGCAACAACAAAGGAAAGTTTGACCCAGGAGCTAAAAGCGGAGCCCACAATGTACGATGTGAGAAACGAGCGGGACCTTGGGTTGCACGACGACCAAACGGAGAGAACTGACCAATTGCCGGAGAACCACCATCATTGTGAGCCTCGTCTGTAACAACAAAACACTACCAAGAACAGAAAACAGCTAAAAACCTATGCACCAAATGAGTTCCAGCCTCACAGATCTTTCCGGCAACAACCAGACACGACCCATAGTCAATGACAGCCGGAGGAGAGGCAACGTTGATCAAAGCAAGAGAAATGAGCAGCAAACCTGCTACAAGAACACGTCCAATGTGCAACAACCCTAAACGTGGGAGAAACACTGGCATGCAAGACCAAGAAAACAATACACTACAAGAAACGAAAAATCCCTTCCCAAATAGCGTACCCGCCGACCGATGATCATGTGCAACTACCAACCCTAACCCAGAAGCCATGGCTATAGACAAAAACTCGGCACTTACAAGCAATTGCCCAAAATACTTAAAACTAAAATAGAAGCTAATAAAACCAACTCAATACCTGGATCAAAAGAGAAAAATAGCGGAGATTGGCCAAATAAATCCTCCTCCTTTCAATACACTCGATCCAACAACCAATAGGACCCAAATTTTCATCTGATTCGATCATCCACATGAACTTTTTTCCAGAATTAAGTAGGGAATCCATCCCATAGAAACATCAACTTGGAGAAACTCAAACTCCTATGAACAGAGCACCTCTACTAAGAGAGGAGATGCAGAACTCCGATGAACAGAGAGGGGACAAAACTGGCCTAGTCGACAATCAATCTTTAGCTGTTTACAAATTTGTGTTATGGAATTCAAGAATTACTGGAATGAGTTAAAATTTTAAAATGCTCAAATCAGGTTATGGCGATTTTTTGCTTTTTATTTTATTGATAAATCTATATCGATGACTTTGGCATTTGGCATTTGACCTTTTATTTTTTATTTTTTATTTTTTTTTTACATAGTTGTGAATTTCTAAACTGGTTGTTCATTATACAATTAATACTTAAAATTATTCAATTTTTGTGAGAGATGGCAAGTTTAATTCTTAGTTAGCCTTCTTAATTTTAATTTGTTCTAAATGCAAAAATGTAATTTTGTTTTATACTGTATCATTTTTTAAAATGACAACTTAATTCCAAACACACTAGAGTTCTGTACTATCATTAGAAGTAATACATCCACAATTTTTCATCCAAAATGATAGAATGTGTGAAGAAAAAAATGTAAATTATATTTCATCATCAAAGTTATAACTTTAATCAAACTACATGCAATTAAGCTGCGCAATAGTCAACTCCTTATGTAAACTCATTGATGTCGAGTCCACTGATAAATAGTATACCCCTAATATTGTTTTCAAGTTTTTCTTATTCTTTATTTTTCATTTCTTCCGATTTCAAAAACTATAGAGCCGCCTCTACTTTTCCTCTGTTCTCTCTCTACACTTTCTCTCTCTCAACCGTTTGTTCCCATTCTATTTTGCTACCTTCCATGGGAGTGGGGAGGTGCCCTTGCTTGCCTCCCACAGGTTAATAACCACGGCGTGTCTTAATAAGTTCGTCATGTAGGAGGTTTTCACGTCATTTTTTGTTTTTGTGTGACTAGATCTGTTGTTTGATTTGTTTTCGGCTCGACAGGGTGAATCTGTTATTTTTCCCTTCGGCTAGATCTCTGATCTAGGTCGATTTTTGTTTTCCCAAACTTGATTTGATCTTTGGTCACTCCAGTTGCTGCTCTTGGTGGTTTACGTTCTAGAGTGGTGGCTCTTTCTCAACAAATCTGGAACATATTCTTCACTTTTCTTGTTTTTGCTTCATGATTTGTATGCTTTTATTTGGCTTGGCTTATGCCTCTCTACTGTTACTTTGGCTTGGCCTTTGTGCCTTTCAAATGATAAATATATATATATATATATATATATATATATATATATATATTCTTCCGAAGGTCACATTAAAAATATATATTATTAACAACAATAACAATATATTTATATATAATATTATTTTACGAATATTGTTTTATATCACATATTTTCTTAATATTTGAAATTATCAATTATTAGTACTAATTAACGATACATACTCAAATGATTTGAACAACCTAAATCTTCAAATTTTACTTTGTTTTTGCACAACAAAGTTAGGGATATGATTTTTATAAATTCAAATTTTCAAAGCTAGAATGAGATCCAAGCCATATGTTGTATGGATGTTAAAGATTCGTAATTAGAAAATTTAAAGTCTCAAATTATATTGAGCCTATGCTAAAAAAAAAAAAAAAAAAAAAAAAAAGGACACAAACCTCACAATTTTTACAATATATCACTAGAAAATTTAATCAAGAGTATAATAAACTTTTCAAGAGCTTACTCCATGATTTTGGTATAAAACTCTCAACCGTTGCACTTTTTCGAGCAATTCTAAAAATATGCCCTCACTCCTTGATTTACATGTTTTAGACGTTTCCCCTTGCTTAAAGAAGAAAAAATTAAATCGTCTGAAAACTAGGGAAGAGAGAGAGTCACACATAGAATAGAAAACATTTCTAACAAATAAACACCTTTAAAAAAAAGTATTCTATAAATTAGCCGGCATTTAGAGTCAATACAAAAGAGTCACCCTTATATATATATATATATATATAATGATATATTTATTCTTTTTCGAACTTTAATAAAGGAAGAGGTATCTTGAATACATTGAGTAGAGTACTCCTCTCATTTCACACCGTTTGGTGGTGTCAAATAAATTTAAATATTCCGTAAAAAATAGTCTTAAAAAACTTCTATACCAACATAGTAATTCTATTGTGTCACACATGACACGTTTATTTCTTTTGAATCATGTGTCAAGTTTGATATCCTGAGAATTGTTTTACTTTCTTATGTCATTTACTCTCCAAGAATGTCTATGAATTCATAATTGTTCCCACTTGACAGTAACAGAGAAATTTTTAAATGGTTCTAATATCATAGATTTCAGTCAAGTACCATCGAACACGTAAGTAAAAAATAAAATAAAACTAGTACTATGAAACAAATTTATATAATATATATATACATGTACACACAGACAGACGTCTAAAATTAATTACCAGTATTTTTTTAAAAAGATTAGCCTTTGTAGATAGCAAATTAATCTTTGCACAGTAATTTTAAACACTTTTTTATTTTATTTTATTATTATTATTTTTAGATAAGAATAACAGGATTTAGTGCTTAGTGAGAAGGGGATAGTGAGATACAATGACTCAATTATAGGGATGGCATAATTCCCAAACGCGGCAGGTCCCTTCCCCACCTCATCCCATTTAGGGTGAGTTTGAGGACCCTTTTTATGTAAATGGGAATGGGGATGGGGATGGGGATGGGATGGGGGTAGTTTTTGAGGTAGGGGTGGGGATAGGGTAAACTCGCCCCGCTACGCCCCGTTTAGGTATACATTTACTAAAATAACTTTATATATTATGATATATTACTAACTTAGATTAAGTATAGATAAACACACTTCAAAAAAAATTATAACTTAGTTGTGTTGAATCTTAGAATTTGAGAATAAGAAAAATTATGTGCTAAAAAAAATTATAGTGTGTGTTAATCAGTTATGGGGGCGGGGGTGAAATTTAAAACGAGGATGGGAGTGGGGATGGGGATGAAAAAATTCACCTGGTATGGGGATGGGGAATGGGATCCCTGCGCCGCCCAATTTCCATCCTTAGACTCAAAGTCGAACTCCTAAGACAACGGGAGCAAGCCTGAGCATCCACAGCCCAGCTAGCCAAACCCATTTTTGGCGATTTGGAGACCCAAATGTGTTGCAGCGGGCTCGCGGATCAGGTCGTGCAAAAACGCAAGCCCAATC